TTCATGTCTAAACTAGAGCTGAGTGTGGCAAATTGCAAACCAGAGGGACTGATTTTTGCTTCCAGAGACGTTGTGTCTGCAATTCTGAATAAATTCCTCTGGATGCTATAGTGTCTCTGAGCATCTGGCCCGAGTTTTTTTTTTTCTCTCTCTAGAGTTAATAATTGAAGAATTGAAAGTTGAAATCATACAAGCTCAATATTGTCTATAAAGTGCATTTATTATTAAAACAATATTGTAAACATGAAGCAGATTAGACTCTAAATGTGATTTCAAGGAATAAAATACTATCCACAGTGAGAACAAAGAACAAGGTGTTTTAACATCTTCCTCAGTTGTTTTCCCTGGGATTGGTGGATTCTCACCTGGCTTCACCTTGGCCTGCTTCCTTCCTCTCACAGTCTGAAGTTCTTTGCACAAACTTCTTTAAGGATGTGCCAGCTCTCCTTGCTGCTGCTTTGAGGCTTGACAGCCAAATGCCAAGTAATTCCCTTTAAACTGAAGATTGTCAGCCGCTATACTTGGCTTTCTTTTCTTGGTAGCCTAATTTAACCTTTTTTTTGGAGATGGAGTTTTGATCTTATCGCCCAGGCTGGAGTGCAATGGCCAATCTCAGCTCACTGCAACCTCCACCTCCCAGGTTCAAGTGATTCTTATGCCTCAGCCTCCTGAGTAGCTGGGATTACCGGCGCCTGCCACCACACCTAGCTAATTTTTGTATTTTTTGTAGAGACAGGGTTTTGCCATGTTGGCCAGGCTGGCCTTGAACTCCTGACCTCAGGTGAGCTGCCCTCCTCAGCCTCCCAAAGTACTGTTATTACAGGTGTGAACCACCACACCTGGCCGTAATTTAACTCTTTTTACTAAAACAATCTTATGATCAGAGTGTGTTTCCATATGTTTCTCCAATGGTACTTCTTTCTTTCTTTCTTTTTTCTTTTTTTTTCTTTCTTATGTTTTTTTTGAGATGAAGTCTAGCCCTGTCGCCCAGGCTGGAGTGCAGTGGCATGATCTCAGCTCACTGCAACCTCCACCTCCAGGGTTCAAGCGATTCTCCTGCCTCAGCCTCTTGAGTAGCTGGGACTATAGGTGCGCATAACCACATCCAGCTAATTCGTACTTTAGAATTGATATTAAACTCATGTGGCATTCATGTAGGCTGAAATTGTCCTCCTTCTTTTTGCTTCTACCCAGACACAGGGCTATCTTTGCCATTACTCCTGACTTCTTCTTCTTAGTATTTGCTTGATGTAACAATCACCATGTATGTACGTCTCCTTCACCCTGGGAAACTCTTTCAAACAATAGGTTGGGTTTTTTTCTTGTTTTGTTTTTGGTTTCTGCCATACCCAGGGTGATAGGAGGGAAGACATTAAAAAAGACATTATTTTTCACTATATACTCATAACAAAAAGGAGAAAAGAACACTGTCATCACTGAATACAAAAAAGTATGTGAATTTCCTATGGACTTTTTTTTTCTTTTGGTGGATATTAATACCATAAGGACAGTAGCTTGTGTAACAAGAGACTATTGGATACAAATTAATGTTTAGCAGTTTTATTAACATTAATTTTTTATAATTAGAATTACATTAATCTCAATACGGTATTTAAGTCCAGAATTTTGATGTTATTCAATTTTGTTACAAATAATTTGGAATGTTCGATTACTCAAAATACTGCTTATGATTTAAGCATGTGGATGAATGTTTTTCACAGCCAAAACTTAGTAATGCTATTCAAGGGCAAGAAGCTATTAAATAGGCAGAAATTTGAAATCAATTATTGCTTGATTTCAGGTGTCCAAAACAATAGAATCTCAAGTACATATTGAACTTCTCAAATGGTCATGTACTCATTACTGTGATGTAAAAAAGGAAGGAACGAGGGAAGGGAGGAAGGGAAGGAAGAAAGAAGGAAAAAAAAGGAAAAAGGAAAGAAAGAAAGAAGTAAAAGAAAGAAGGGAAAAAGGAAGGGAAAGGAAAGGAAAAAGGAAAGGAAAGAAAGAGAAATATAAACATGTTCTTTTAGTGACAGCTTTATGTAATGAAAAATGATTCTTCTGGGCTGGACTTGGTGGCTTACACCTGTAATCCTAGCACTTTGGGAGGCCCAAGGAGGGAGGATTGCTTGAGCTCAGGAGTTCAAGACCAGCTTGGGCAACATAGCAAAACCTCATCTTTACTAAAATTCCAAAAAAAATTAGCCAAGTATGGTGATGTGTGCCTGTAGTCTCAGCTACTTGGTGGGGCACTGAGGCCAGTGGATCTCTTGAGCCTGGGAGGTTGAGGCTGCAGTGAGCTATCATCATGCCACTGCACTCCAACCTGGGTGACAGAGCGAGACCCTGTCTCAAGAAAAGAAAAAAAGAAAAAGAAAAAATTATTCTGTAACATTATCTTGTAATGCTCATGTGATAGTACTACCTGCATTTTAATCTAATTGTTTATTTAATTGTCTATCTTCACTCAACTATAATGTTTGTATAGGCAGGGATCATGCTTTTCTTGCTTATTCTTGTAATCCCTAACACCATGCTTGCCACAGAGAAATTGCCATGTATTTCTACCTCTCTATTCACTGAATGATGTTCATTCCCCTGATATCCCTGAAATTATTATTATTATTATTTTTAATAGAAAAAGGACAACATGCATGACTATATAGGGGGGTCTGTTAGTAGAGTCTGGCCCAAGTATCCAACAATACTAAAAACCAAGTGAGTTCCTACCTTGGCTCCTCCTTCCTAACTCTCTTGAAATCTCAGCCTTTCGAATCTTTGCCATGCTGATGGTAAAGAAAGGCATGCCAAGAAAAGAAGGGGTGTGGGTGGGGTTTTGCCTAAGATTCCCTAGAGAGCTCTTAAAAATACTGACTCACAGGCCCCACCCAGCCCATGAACTTCTGTTTCAATTGATATTGAGTGATGTCCAGAGAATCACTATTTTAAAGGCTCCCAGATGATTCAGTGTTCAGCCTGGGTTGAGAAACAATTGGTCTAGCTAGTCAAATCAACCTACTTTAGTTGATTTGATCACAAGCTCCCAAGTAGGAACAGTGGTGGTGTGGCTGACTCACATTACCAGAGTATAAGGGAGTGCCCATAATTAAAGCTCTACCCTTGCCCCAACACTGTGGTCCAATAAATGTCAACATTTTTGATCCTGGCCATTCTGGTGAAGGAGAGCCTGGGAGTGAAGGAAGGGATGGAGGGAGTAAGGAAGAACAGACCCTGCCTTTGTGGTTAGAGTCAAAAACATCCATTGAACCATCATTAAATAGGTACTTGTTGAGGACCTACTATTGGCCAGGTACCAAGCCCTGTGACTACACCAGTGAAAAACACCAGCCAAATCCCTGCCTTCACAGACATAACTATATTCTAGGGGCCAAGACATAGAATAGACAAATGGTTATATCAATGTCATTGATATCAATGGATAGTATGAGAAGAAAATTAAAGCAGTGTCGAGTAGAGTGAAGGGGACAGAGTAAGGGTGAGACAGGTTGGTTGGGAAAACAGCTCTGAGCAGATGATGTCTGAGTTGAGACCTGGATGAAGAGAAGGAGTAAAGGTAAGACCGATGTGAGAGCTGGGGGAACATCAAGGGAAATAGCTCCTGAGTTGAGGATGCTCTCGGCATGTTCAGAATTAACAAGAAAGTCCTTGGGGTGAGAATGAGCATATGGTGTAGGGCCTCAGAGGCCAGGGATAGGAGTCTAGGATTGTCTCAAGTGTGATACAAAGCTTTTGGAGAATAGTGAGCAGAAGATGGATTGATCTAATTTTATTTTAAAAATATTGCTCTGATTGATATAGGGGATATAGTCAATACATATCCTGATAGTAAAGAAAATGGATTATAGGGACTAAGATTAGAAGAAGGACCATGATTTGGGAGGCCATTGCATGGTCCAAGTAGTCGAGAGTAGCTTAGATTAGGATCGTAGCCATGGAGGAGGGAGAAACAGTAAGATGTGGGATATATTTGAAAGTAGGAGTGGCGAAGACTTGCTGATGCATTCAGTGTTGGGTGTAAGAAAAAGAGAAAATTCACCTGGGCTGGTTATAGTATTAAGTTACTGTAAACTGAATCCTGAATGTTTAAATACTGTGAGATACATAGTGAGCCCTCAATAAATATTGGCTATGATGAAACATCCAACTGAGAGTATTAAATAGACCATTGACCATTAAGTCTGCAGCTCAGGGAAAGGATAGAGCTGGAGATATACATTTGGGAGTCACCAGGGTATGGTGGGATTTAAAACCATTGGACTAGATGAAATCAAGGGTGTGAGAATATAAAGCTGAGAGTGAAGTTCCAGAGCATTTCAACATGTAGAGACTGAGAGCCAAAGAGGAGAACCCAGAAGAGAAGGCTGAGAGGGAAGGGCCCATGAGATTGGAAGAAATTTTGGAACATGGCAAGACCTCGAAGTCAAGTGAAGAAAGTATTTTAAGGTGGGAATCGACTAAAATATTTTTTACAAGTATTCAAAAACAGTGGAGTATGAGAATGACCATTGGAGGTTGTGAGTGACCTTTTTAAGCTCTGAGCTGGAAATCTGTAGGGGGTTCCTCTGGCATTTCTTCAAGTCACTTGCTCTTTCTTGGAGGAATGTCTTAATCTTGGCTTGTACTTCTTTTTCACTTTTCCTCTTGCCCCTCTCTCTTCTACATAGCTTTTCATTATCTTGCTCATTCTGTGAAGCAAGTAACTAACTCTGCTTACCTTTAAAACTGAAGAAGTTTTATGTTAAAGACTAGCCCCATTCAGGAATCATGAGCTAAGCTTTCTGCAACAATAATACTTATTTACTAACCACTCAGGCTATTATATAAATGCCACTTATATGAATACATTGAGAAGTGGGCATGAAAATGGCCATTATTTACATAAATAAAATGTTTTAATTTTAATTTAAAATTACATGTGAATTTCACATGATAAACTAGAGTTTAAGATGCCAATAGCTCTTGAATTATAATTTTAGGAGAGAGAATGCTGCAGTTTGGAAAGTGGTGCTTGGCATCAACAATCTAGACCATCCATCAGTGTTCATGCAGACACGCTTTGTGAAGACCATCATCCTGCATCCCCGCTACAGTCGAGCAGTGGTGGACTATGACATCAGCATCATTGAGCTAAATGAAGACATCAGTGAGACTGGCTACGTCCGGCCTGTCTGCTTGCCCAGCCCGGAGCAGTGGCTAGAGCCTGATACGTACTGCTATATCACAGGCTGGGGCCACATGGGCAATAAAAGTAAGCCAGTGTATTAGTCCATTCTCATGTTGCTATAAGCACATACCTGAGATTGGGTAATTTATAAAGGAAAGAGGTTTAATTGAGTCACAGTTGTGCAGGGCTGGGGAGGCCTCAGGAAACTTACAGTCATGGTGGAAGGGGAAGCAAACATGTCCTTCTTCACATGGCAGCAGCCAGGGGAAGTACTAAGCAAAAGGGGGAAAAGCCCCTTATAAAACCATCAGAACTCGTGAGAACTCACTATCAAGAGGGTAACTGTCCCCCATGTTTCAATTATCTCCCACCAGATCCCTCCCATTACACATGGAGATTATGGGAACTACAATTCAAGATGAGATTTGGGTGGGAACACAGCCAAACCATATCAGCCAGGATCTTCAGGAGCCTGAGAAACACTGTGTTCCTCAGTTGGGAGGCTGAGGTGGGAGGATTTCTTGAGCCTGCAAGGTGGAGTCTGCAGTGAGCCGAGATCTCACCACTGCCTGAATGAGACCCAGTACCTAGAACCAAAAACTAGGTAGCTTTTGGCCATAATTTCCCATTTTCTCTTACAAAAAGATAGCCACAAATGGTAAATACTTAGCAATGTATCGCACTTCATTTGCTGTGTGAATCATAGATAGACATTAATAATGAACCATGGCATTTAAAATGGTCAAGCTCAAATGCAGTCTCAAAAAATCCCACTCCACACCTCAGAATCTCTCTCCAGGGAGCTACTATAAATGTTTTGGAGCTTCCTTGTGGCAGGAGGAGACCTGCCACAACTGTGCTTTGGACTGTCTCTAACTGCCTGAAGATAGCCCAATGATAGAGACAGTCACTGGGAATCTGCAGTCAAGCTGCATGGTCATATCTCCAATTTTATGTTATGATTTGGTCTTATGTGTATTGCATCTGTAGTACAACCTATAAGTCCTTCAAGAAAGCATATTGATTTGCTATTTGACTATTTAAATTGATTAAAATAGTTTGGCTGTGTAGATGACTTAAACATATAAAACACGTGGAAATTAAAAATGTGTACTATGTACTTACTCTCAGCCCCTACAATGGACTCTCTCATTCAGTTTGACCTAATTTAGAATAATGATTGTTTGTTTGTTTGTTTGTTTTTGAGACGAAGTCTCGCTCTGTCACCCAGGCTGGAATGCAGTGGCATGATCTTGGCTCACTGCAACCTCTACCTCCCAGTTTCAAGTGATTCTCCTGCCTCAGCCTCCCAAGTAACTGGGATTACAGGCATGCGACATGATGCCTGGCTAATTTTTTTTTTTTTTTTTTGTATTTTTAGTAGAGACGGAGTTTTGCCATGTTGGCCAAGCTAGTCTCAAACTCCTGACAGCAGGTGATCCAGCCACCTGAGACTTAAACAAACAAACAAACAAACAAACAAACAAAACTCTAAGTACAGCCTACTCTGCCCATATCAAGTATAATGCCATGGCTTTCAAGAATGATAATGTATATAGGCATTCTGTTATGGCCTTAGAAATTGTATATTTGAAAGAATTTTTTTCTTAAAATTTAGTCAGATAAGTTTTGAGTTACATTGTTTCATCAATTACAGAATGGAAAGGAAATTCAATAGGCAGAAGTCAATGACTTTTTCAAAAAAACTCACATGTAACAATCCTCCGACAATATCCATATTGAACTCAGAGCGATACTGCAACATAATGCACACTCCACACATGTGGTATAGCATGAATTGAGCCTAGGAGTTCGAGACCAGCCTGGGCAACATGGTGAAACTGTTTGAACAAAAAAAAAATTAGCTTGGCATTGTGGTGTGTGCCTGTAGTCCCAGCTACTTGGGAGGCTGAGACGGGAGGATTTCTTGAGCCTGGAAGGTGGAGGCTCCAGTGAGCCAAGATCTCATCACTGCCTGGGTGACAGAATGAGACCCTGTCTGAAAAAAAAGCAAAATTCTGCTGAATTCAGTAAGAAAGACCTGGTTGATCTGACTATACAACTTTCAAGCTTACTATAAAATGGAAAAAAAAAAAATAGCAACTGCCTAACTCACCAGAGTGTTGTAAAGATTAAAGACAATGAGACCCACTAGTGCCCAATAAATGTTAGCTATTTTTCTTATTCTTTAGACAACCTATGAAACATCCACTGCCTGCATCACATTGATTTTCCTAAAAATGGCTCTTTCTTCCTATAAGGTACCCAGTGATGCTTCACCATCGCTGTTTAAAAGAAGAACAGTGTGTATAATTTTGCAGAATGGCTAAACAGTGAAAGATTCACGCTGTCTTGCTGCAAGAAATCCATTGTAGTTCTTCAAGAACTTTCAAGCAAGATGGAATTCACATATTCTCTCTGTCAATACCAAGGGATGGCTTTGAGCTTTTCGACATCTCTCTGTCATATCCTCTAGGATTAGAGGTTCTTACCTCAAGTCATGGCTGCTGGGGCACATATTGAGACACATTCTTTTCATTAAGAATAGGACAACCCTTCTCTGTGAGAATGAACAGGTTTTCTCTATTTTAGCAGAGCAGGACTATCATGCTGAATTGACGCTGAGCTGGCAGCCTCCTGTCTGGCAGCCAGCAGAGCTCTGGCTTGATTGTTTTATTTTCTTTGTAGTAGCTGTTGTTTTTGTTATAGCATATGATAAGGATGAACCAACTTAACCAGTCTGGGCCTCAATTTCCCCGTTAATAAAATAAAGGAGTTTCACTGGATAATTGCTATGAACACTTCTAACTAGAAAATTCTGATTCCAAACCAGCCGTGTCTTTAAAATGACATTTCAAGTAAAGAATATGCCTCTCTTGGTATAAAAATACTTATATTATATTTGCATTTCATATTTGGCTAGCCTTACTAGCCTCACTTTTGAGTCATTTTACCATCATATGTATATTCTTTTTTTTTTTTTTTTCAAATTCAGTGCCTTTTAAGCTGCAAGAGGGAGAAGTCCGCATTATTTCTCTGGAACGGTGTCAGTCCTACTTTGACATGAAGACCATCACCACTCGGATGATATGTGCTGGCTATGAGTCTGGCACAGTTGATTCATGCATGGTAAGTTGCTTTATGGTTACCAAGGAGATTCATTTCAACAGTAACTTCAGTGGATTCCCATAAATTCATTATTACTCACATACAGCCCTTTGGAAATATTTTTTGAAAATTGTTTGTTGCCAAATGTTTAATTATTTATAGCACATTTTCCTGCAGCTGGTACACAATTCTCCTAATTACACCCATCCTCTTTATTCAGGGTGCCTTCTACTGTCTCATCTACTGTATGGGGAACATCACCCTTGGTCAGCAACAGGAGAAAAACAATTTTTCCTGTTCATCTCATTCAACCATTTTAGTGGTTAGGATAAACGAGGTTCTAAGAGGAGCTAGTAGTAACCATGGCTTCCACCTGGCTGACCCGGGAAGCAGGGCAGGCATGAAAGGACATTGTCAGTCATTGGAGTGATGGCATTAAGACACACATCAACACCCCAACTTCCAGGGTGTGAGACAGGACTAACTCTGTCTCAGGGGTCATCACACTGGTGTTGTCTGGGCCCTCACTTGATTGCCAGCATGTCCTCAAATGTCACTGAACTCAACCTTTAGATACTCAGGATTCATGGCCGTGAGAGTTTGTAGAACATATTAACGTAAGAGTCTAGAGGTGCCTTTTTATTTTTACTTAATAGACACTCATCGAACATTATACTGGACTGGTTCCTAGGAAAGGAGGGAAAAGTGCAAGTGCTCAAACAAGCTTGTAACAAAACCTGGGGAAGACAGTTATTATACTATGCTTCTGTGAAGCACCTTTGTTATTTTACTGCTTTGGAGTAATTTGCCCACTACAGTTTAGTAATGAAGAAAAGATACAACAGTGCTCTGAAGTACTAACTCAATGTAAATATGTTATATTTTTGATGATCCATTTTAGAATGGAAAAATCAGGGTGTTGAAAATGGCCCTGTGGTGATTGCTTAGACAGTTGTCATGGGAAAGAAGGAGCAGACAGCTCCCTTGGCGTTTCGCTGAGACCACCCTCCTTTCTGCCTCATGGCCTCACATCATCCTGCTGAGGTGGGTGGTGGTAAAGGAATCCCTCCCTTCTCTACAGGAAGACTGGGTTTGATTTCCCAGGCCCAAAAAAAGTGTTGTAGGAGGCAGCATGATGTGAGTGTGGGGCACAGGATTTGAAGCCGGAAAGATCTGGGTTGGAGCTTATCTCTGCCATTAAGACCAGTATAACCCGGTGAAGTTATCTAACCTCTCTGGATAGCTTTCTCATGAGTAAAATGGGACTAATTCTGTCCATGAAGATTAACTAAGTTAATGTATTTAGAAGCCTGTATCTTTCACATATCTGTATATGATATCTGGCACATACTTAGACATTCAATGAATAGTAATTACACCAATATTAAAATCTATCAGTTTAGTGCTTATTATGTTTCAGGCTCTCTGCAAAATGCTTTCTAATAACTCATTTAATTATCATAATCAACCCATATGGTGGTGTGTTTATTTTCCCTAAACAGATCAAGAACACAGGAGGTTAAGTAATTTTCCCCAAATCAGCCAGCATGAAGGTGGTAGATTGAGGATATGAAATCGGGCAGTCTGGCAGCAATGATTAATATAAATACATTTCTGCCTCTCTCCAATGTCATCTGGAGGTTTATCAAAAACTAGCACCTCTTGGCACATGTTCAAGATCATCTCTTGGCAATTGCTAAAGGAGGGGAAGGGAGATGATTCCTTGACAGAGAGCTGAAGGCCCACAGACACAGGCACGGGCATGTTCTTATCATGATGTCTAATAGGAACTAGGTCTTGCCAACTTCTTTAGTAGTGGGATTTCAGTGGTGTGGGTATACTAAATGCATAGCAGATATTCTCTAACACAACTTCAGGTAGAAAACAAAACAAACAAAACCTACTTTTTACTATATCAGAAGCAAATGTTTCTACTTAAACCTCTATTATATGACATATATTATTTTCCTTAATCATATCAACAGGACATAATGAAGTGTGAGTTTGTCTGTGACAATCTATAAGCCAATACTGAAGCCAAATATGTTGGTTTCAAGCCCAATATTACAAAGAGGACCAAAAGAACAAACCAGATCCATTGTGCCTTTAGCTATAGTCTCACTTTCATTTTTAATTGCTTGCTTTTCACCTTTTGTTTTGCATTTAATGGAGTGCCTACCTGACTCACTAAGCCTAAATCAAAGCCTGCATCTCAGGAAGGCATTTTTTATTCCTCTCCATCTGAATGTCATCACTCCTTCCTTTGAACTCCTCTTTCTAGCCTTTAGATTTTGCTTTCATGTGAAGTTATTCTTGTTACCCAAGCTGACTTTAGGCTGCTCTGGGACAAAAATAGTGCTTGTTTGTTTGTTTATACACTAGCACAGAACTTTTCAAAAGAGTAGATGCTAAATAATTATTTTATTAAATGTCTGATCTGGAAGTGAAAATGTGCTGACATTGTAAACACGTTCCTTTTTTATCACCCTCTGACATCATAGTTCCACTTCAATAGGCGAGCATCTTATTTATTTTATATAAGGAGAGATCAAGAATGAAATACCTTATGTGTATGAAATATGTGAAAACAAATTTGTGAAAATAGTTTGTGAAACGTTTCTAGGAAATTTTTCTTTTTTGTCTAAGCATTATATACATGTAACAAATAAATTTTGCTTTAAAAAATTCAATTAGGCTCTTAGGCAGAAAAAGTTATTCAGCTCTTTGCAAGTTCTATGCTTATGATTTTGGCTAGGGTATTGGAAAGTTACAAATTCAAAGATCATCACTTACACAAAAGTGTATAGCACAATCAAAATTTTAATCTTTTTCTTCTTTTTTTTTTTTTTTTTTTTTTTAAGATGGAGTTTCACTCTGTCTCCCAGGTTGGAGTGCAGTGGTGTGATCTCAGCTTATTGCAACCTCCACCTCCTGGGTTCAAGCGATTCTCCTGCCTCAGCCTCTGGAGTAGCTGGGATTACAGGTTTCCACCACCAAAGCTGGCTGATTTTTGTATTTTGAGTAGAGACAGGGTTTTACCATGTTGACCAGGTTGGTCTGGAACTCCTGACCTCAAGTCATCTCCCCGCCTCAGCCTCCCAAAGTGCTACGATTACAGGCTTGAGCCAGCGTGCCAGGCCCAATTTCTCTTTCATAGCAATAATATTCACGAATGTTCCTAAGAAGCAGGGTGGCCTAGTAATTATAGAGTTGGAGTCTTGTTACCAGGCTGCTTGGATTCAAATCCAGCCTCTGTCAATGAACAAGTTGTTTAACTTGTGCTTCACTTTCAACATCTCCAAAACAGATATAATAAATAATATAAACTCTTAGGTATTTTGTAAAGATTAAATGAGCTAATATGTGGAAAATGTTTAGAAGAGGATCGAGAAACAATTAGTCCTATGTTCTTCAACAATACCAAGTAGGAAGACCATAGATATGCTTCTAATTTTGAAAGTCTGTAGGTCAAGGAGTATTTGTAACCTTCCACAATGAATTCACATATTTACTTTTTTTTTTCTCCATGGTATCAGCTCTTCTTTTTCAAGGCAGTGCAGAATATACCTTTGTTTTCAGATGTAGGAAATATTGCTATTTCTAATGCCATAGCATTTTATTGTTAACTATATTTGGGGGAAAAACTGAATATAATTCAACTGGAATCCTTAAATATCATGAATGAAAATCCCTATATATATGAAATAAAATACAGACTATTAATGAAATATTCATTATAAATAATTTTAAGTGGTCCTATTTTGTATTCAACTATGCCAAATTTAAAAGTCTTAAGAACTATTAAGAAGTGTAGTAAGGGACCCCAAATTGTGTTATACTTAATGTATTCATTCACAAAGCCAGATTCTTGAAAATAGATATTTTAGAATATGTTTGTAGTACTGTGTGTGGGGGGTATTTTATTCCATTTTGGGTAGTTTCCACAGTCATAAGTCAAGCTTAAATTAGAATGAGGTCAATTTTGAGGTAATTAGTTCTGATACTTTTTAAAAGCTTTATAATATATTTTTGTAAGTGCAGAAAATGCCTGAAAAAGGTCTTTTAATTTTCTGGGGGAAAAAAATACAATTTCTTCCCAAGTCACTCCACCTTTTTAATGATCAGAGGTTAAGATGTTTATTTGAAAGTTCTATTTTTACAGCGGAAAGCACAATTCCTCCACAGGCTGACAAGGTCAGCTTTGTTGAAACTTTCCAAGTTGGTTAATCTGGGTTTAGCTTTATTGTATCCTCAGGATAGCATGCACACACATTACGGCCCTGAAATGCCAGTTACTAACTCCCATTGCTACTCATTGCAGGGCGACAGCGGTGGGCCTCTTGTTTGTGAGAAGCCTGGAGGACAGTGGACATTATTTGGATTAACTTCATGGGGCTCCGTCTGCTTTTCCAAAGTCCTGGGGCCTGGCGTTTATAGTAATGTGTCATATTTCGTCGAATGGATTAAAAGACAGATTTACATCCAGACTTTTCTCCTAAACTAATTATAAGGATGATCAGAGATTTTTGCCAGCTACACTAAAAGAATATGACCTTCTTGACTGTGAAGCGCTTCCTGCAGAGAGCTGTACAGAAGCACTTTTCACGGGCAGAAATGCTCAACCGTGCATTGCAAATTTGCATGTTTGTTTTGGACTAATTTTATTCAACTTATTTTTTCACCTTCATTTTTCTCTTATTTCAAGTTCAATGAAAGACTTTACAAAAGCAAAGCCAAGCAGACTTTGTTCTTTTGCCAGGCCTAAGCATGACTGCAGCACAAAATTATCAACTCTGGAGAGATTGAAAATCATGCAGGTGCTACAGTAACAGGTTATGGAATGTTCTCTTTTATCCTATCACAAAAAAAGACATAGAGATTTAGGCTGACTATCTCTGCTAGTTTTTGTTTCTCAAGCTCAGTGCATAGTGGTAAATTTCAGTGTAACATTGGAGACTTGCTTTTGATTTATTAAAAGCCAAGATAATTTACACATTTGAAGTATTTACTATTACCCTTCTAATGTTTGCATCATTCTGAGAACTGATGAAAGACAGCAATAAAAGACCAATATCATCCATTTAGGTAGCAAGACATATTGAATGCAGAGTTATTTAGATATCAATATTAACACTTGACTTTATAGGACCCCATTCTGGATGTATATCAAGATTCTAATTTTATAGAAGAGTCTCTATAGAACTTTCCTCATAGCTGGGTTTGTTCAGGATATATCAGTTGGCTGATTGAGATTGCAACAACTAGATCAATATTTATGGACAATATTTTGTTTTACTTATGTGGCAAAGAACTGGATATTAAACTTTGCAAAGGAGAATTTAGACGAGAGATGCAATTTTTTAAAAAGAAAATTAATTTGCATCCCTCGCTTAAATTTACTTTTCAGTTTTCTTGTGTTCATCCATACCAACAAAGTCATAAAAAGCATATTTTAGAGCACAGTAAAACTTTGCATGGAGTAAAACATTTTGTAACTTTCCTCAAAAGATGTTTAATATCTGGTTTCTTCTCGTTGGTCATTAAAATTTTAGAAGTGACTTTTAGCTCTAGGCCACTTTACACAACTCAATTTCTGAAGCAATTAGTGGTAAAAAGTATTTTTCCCCACTAAAAAGCTTTAAAACACAAATCTTCGTATATACTTAATTTAATTAGGCATCCATTTTGCCTTTTAAACAACTAGGATTCCCTACTAACCTCCACCAGCAAGCTGGACTGCCTCAGCATTCCAAATAGATACTACGTGCAATGTTATACATGTATTTTTGTATCTTTTCTATGTGTAAACATATTTGAAATTCAAAAAGTTGTTTTAGCAATTTCTATATTATTCATTTCCTGTCCTGCAGTTTGTATAAACCTAAGGAGAGTGTGAAATCTAGCAACTGAATTGCGGTCACAATGTTGTGAAAGTTCAAGAACGTTTGTCAGTTTTGTTGTAGGTACATATTCAATGTATCAACTTTTGGCCTCGCTCAACTTAGGCTCAGTGAAATACACGTATTATACTTAGTTTAAATAATTCTTAATACAACTAAAATGGTCTAATCACCTTTTTTTATGGATATGGGTGGCAAGTTCTAAGAAATTGTTTCTGTCTCTCTAACAGCATGCTGGCAGCCTGTTTACCCATCACAGTTCACCTCGCTTATCTCTCACTCTCACAGGTTCATGCTCTTTCATTTTGGAGGATCAGTGGCTCCTTGACTGGTCTGAAATTAGAGGTTGCTAATAGTCTCACAGTACCCATTGAGTGTCCAGTGGGAACTTTCGTCCTGGTAAGGGCACACAGATCTTTAATGTCTAGAGTACATTTTGGGAACCCAATACAATTATTTTATAAATCCTTTGTATAAGATTATATCCCAAAATGTATACTATTAATCAATTTTCTTATCTACTGACAGCAATGATATAATACTTGGTCCCCCCCAAATTTGGTGAAATACACTGGACACCAGATCGCATCAGCTTGGGTAACTTTATGTAAAAGAGTTATTGACTTGTAAACGTGACCCTTTGAAAGCTTCATACAGATCCCAGCCTCTTTAGGTTAAGGTCTAAATGTGTTTTAGAATTCAAAATTTTCCAAATTTTAAAAGGAAATACAGTTTAGCACTCAGTAATGAAATAATATATTTGTAGCAAAGTATATGAATGATTACATTAAGTACATAAATAGCTTTACATTTGTTCAGGGCATAGAATTTAGGCCTAATTTATAAAAATATTTCAGTTTTCAGAGGTTTGGAGGTTTTGGAATTGTGGATACAAGATTGTGACCCTATCACATTAGCACTCAGTATTTTCCTCTATTCATAGGTACAGATAATTCAATTCTGAAAATTGATCTTTTTCCTTAGTGTTTTTGGCTCATTCTTTGTCCTTAGATGCTAACCTTTTTATTTACAAGTGAACATACCTCTAAATTATTGTTTATCAGGAGACAACAATCTCAGGGAATGAATGCCAACTGCTGCGAGGATAATAAATGATATGACATCAGTGATTTTCCATATAAGGCAAAAGCAATATTCTGGTAAAAGGCATGCTTTGTGACTTTCCTTCTAAGTTCTGGTACTAATTACAGTTGGATTTGGCAAATGTTTATAAGAGTGATGATGATTTTTCAGTATACATTATTTATGAAATAGTTTATTTATAAAAACTATGAAATAGTTTATTTATAAAAAGCAGAAAGCAACTTCCATTAACTATGTGAGATTTTGAAAGTTCTAGAAATCAGCTTATGTAAAAGACTATTTGCAAGAGAAACAGAAGGCTACAAAAATGTTAGACCAAAATAGTAGGCAGAAGGTAGAAAACTAAACCCTGAGAATAACAGTCATTAAGAAGACCTTGATGCAGACGTTGCATATGAGCATGGAGATTCAGGAAGGAAATTCTGGATGATTGGTGGCTGACAACTTTCAAATATAATAAATAGAGAAAGGATTTCAAAAGAACTTCAACAGGAATATATGATTTTATAGTAGCACCTGGCCTTACTTAGCGTAAAGTAGTTTGTTTGTTACAACTAAAGCCGGCATACATGATTTGCAATAGCAGTAAACTTGCTATAGACATTCCTGTCCTCAAATGTATTTTAAAACCAAATTTTTCTAAGAACCTCATAGAAACCTCCAGAGAATAACCTGTATTAGTTTCAGTTTATATCTCATATTTTAGAGGCTCCAACACCTGAAAAGTCTCAGGGTATTGTAAAAACTATGAACCTTCAAGTGGCCTCTGGAAGATTGTTTTGAAATTGATTGTATCACTTCGATCAGGCTATTGTCAGTTTTAAAATACAGGAAATTGCCCAATGGGCTGTTTGTCTGCCTGATCTATGGCTTCAGTTTCCTAACTGACAACATCTATACAGAGGCAGATCTCATAAAAGGTCTTCTCTTGATTGGAACCTGAGAGAGGAATGCATTCCTGGTCCCTGATGAAACCCTAGAATCCCTCTTTCCCCTTTCCAATGAAGGCTCCACCTCAGGAAATCACTGAAATGAGCAGAGAGAAATGCCTACATCTTCAGTCAGAAGACCTAAAGCATCTTCCCACAGAAAATAAAAAGCTATTCATAGACACTAATTGTATTTTAAGCAGTATAATTATACCCTATTTTAGGTACCTTGTTTAAAAGGCTCTTGGGATTTTACTTGTAAATTAACCATCTACGTTTTTTCCGTATTTCCTCCGAGTCCTAACCAATTCATTAAAAACTACTTTTTTCTCAATAAAAAAATTCAGATTGGAGCCTGATCATTTAAAGCATTTCTCTAGAATATAAGATCTCCTAGTAAAATAAATATATCTCAAATGACTCCCCTTGAAAATATTTGAATTTCTAAGAGAATGAAAATGCTTTTACAAAATCCAAAAAGTTTTACAAAAGCATTTGGTTCTGAATTAAATATTTCACTTCCTTACACTCTGTCTAGGTCAAACTCTAGCCCTCTATTACAAATGTATATACAAACATACAATAATGGTCATCATGTCAGCTCTTCCAAGCCTAGTAAAATGCTCATGTCCCTTATGGAAAAACTAGTCATTCTTGCTTGGAGAGATATCTCTTCAAAATCCCTCTTCCAACCTTGAAAGAATACTTGCAACTCCAAGGAGGGTGTCTAGCTTTCTTAATCTTTGCAGGGTCCAGCCATCTCAAAGGCCTTAGTTTCAGAGTAGCCTTGATCTAAAGCAGTTTCACACAGAGATAAGTTTCCTTGCTCAATAGCACAGGAAGTTGCTGAGTTCATTGCAAATACAGTAGAAGGGCCAGGCATGGGTCTTCTTCCTGACTTGTCAGCTGATTGGTTAGCATAGTTTGATGTCACTTGATTCATCTTTCCAGCCCCTCTCCACTTCTTGAGAGCTTCAGTCCTCTCCTCTGGAGTTAGTCTGTCAAAGTGCTTAGCTCTCAGAATTGGAGATGGAAACAGGGATCCCTGAAGAACTCTGTATACAAACCTAGGTGACAAGAAACATCATTAGAATTAAATTCACCTCAAATGCATTACGGAAAACCCCCCAAATACTAACCAATTAAAAAAGTAAAAGCGTCTGGTGGCCACTTGGCTCCTGAAATAAAGGGGGAGGGTAACTGAACCCTAATATAAAATGGAGATAAAACAATATTAAATAAATTAATATTTGTAAAGCACTTAGAAAACAGTAATTGTCATATGTTTATTAAAAAACAAAAATAAATAACATCTATAAAAGTAGAGATATAAATAGTTGCTACATAGGCTTAATGTTAGGTTAAATGAGACAATACATACAAAGCAGGCAGAGTGTTGACACACAGTAAGTGTTAAAAATGCTATTTGTATCAGTTTCCTATGGCTATTGTAACAAAGTACCACAAACGTGTCCCTTCCTAGACTAAACTGGCAGTGTTTCTTCTGGTATATTCTCAAAAGTCTTGTGACTCTCCTATGTATGTCACTGGGATTTATGCCACTAGATAAGAGGTACCACCACAGATCTTTCCTGTATAACCTCATTTCTTTTTCTGGTTACTACTACAATGGTTGAGGAGATCTAGGAATCACATAACTAATCTCTTCAGCACTAGCAGAAGGGTTGTCCAGCTATGCTCTCAAACTTCTCTCCAGAGCATACTCCTAACAGTCAATCTCCTAACTTTAGCAACTTTTGCAATCTGGATAGCCTGAGAATTTCCTAAACCAAGTTCCTTGTGGCTTAGCAGTTTTCCCTTCAGTATCTTTCCTCTCACATTTTACTATAAGCAGTAAATCAGGACACACCTTCAAAACTTCGCTTAGGAACCTCCTCAGTCAAATATCCAACTTCACTGCTTACAAATTCTGCTTTCTATATTACTGTAGAACACAATTTAGCTAATTTTCCTGCCAGTATTCGAAAGATCCACTTCCCTCAAATTCCCAAAGCATGTTCCTCATTTTCTTCTGAGTCCTCATCAGTGTACTTGAAAATTCATATTTCTAGCAACTTTCTGTGTATGATGATATATGTATTCTCTACATCTGATGATACAGGCTTTCTCTGACTTCTTCATTTTCTTCTGAAACCTCACCAGCAGTAACTTAATTTTTCAGTAATGCAGGATTGTTTTCATATTATAAAAGCAATTAATGTAATTTACTACACTAACAGTATAAAAAAAGAAAATCTTATCTCAATTAATACAAAAATTTATATTTTTTTAAATGTGAAAATAAGGAATAGAATGGAACTTCTTTAATCTGGTTAATGGTATAGTCATAAAATTCTATATAAAACATCATAATTAATAGGGAAATATGGAAACCTTTCCTTCTGGGATCAGAAACAAGACAAGTTTCCCCAGCCAGGTCAATAAGAAAAATCAAGTGCTTACATATTGGAAAGAAAGAAACACAATGGTCATTATTTGCTAATGGCATTACTGTATATGTAGAAAATCCAAAATAAAATATTGGAACTAATAAGTAAATGTAGCTATCAAGATCACTGATTACAACTTTAATGTCCATATTTCTACCAAGAGCCTGGGTAAGTTAGTCTAAGAGGATTTTTCTATTATGTGCCTCAAAATTCTCCCCGCCTCTGCCCATTATCCAATTTCAAAGCCACTTCCATAGTTTTCTGCATTTGTTATAGCAGAAACCTATTCTGGGTACCCAAATCTGTATCAGTTTCCTATGACTGCTATACCATATTATTACAAACTTGGTAGCTTAGAATTACAAAAATTATTCTCTCAATGTTTTCAAGGCAAAAAATATGAAATTAGCTTCACTGGGCCAAAATCAAGGTATTGGAGAGGGCGTGCTCCCTCTGGACCCTCTAGAAGAGCATCTATTCCTTGCCTCTTCCAGCTTCTGGTGGCTTATGACATTTCTTGGCTTGTGGCTAAGGAATCCATGATCCCATAGGCATAGTGCCTTCTCCTCTTCTGTGTCAAATCTCCCTCTGCCTCTTTTCTTATAAGGACACTTGTGGTTACATTTAGGATCCACCTGGATAATTCAGAGTAATCTCTTTGTCTCAAGATCCATAATGTAATCATTTATGCAAAGTTCTTTTCTTGCCACATAAGATAAAATTTACAGGTTACAGAGATTAGGACATGGAAATCTTTTAGGGAGTCATTTTTTTAGTATACCACAAAAATACTAGAACTATACTGTTAAAGGCCCAGAATTTTTAAAGCCAAAACCTTAAAGTAATTGTTTTTTCAGAAATTCTATAAGTTCGTCTTGTCAGTTTTTAATCTGGAAGCTGGCAATAGCAGTGAGCACTATAGAAGTATCTTAGTTTCACAGTGATATTGTTATATATAAGTACCATTGAGTAACTCAGATGGGTTTTCTTATGCATTTCTAGAAGAGACATTCATCAGCAACAAAGGATTGTGTCCGTTGTGCCGTATGATACAGTTACAGATTAGAGCAGGCAAACTCTTTCTGTAAAGGGTTGGATAGTAATATTTTAGGCATTGCAAGCCAGACAAACTTTGTTGAAACTATTCAGTTCTGCTGTTGTATTGCAAAAGAAGCCATAGATCATATGTAAATGAGTATGGCTTTATTTACAAAATCAGACAGTAGGCCAAATTTGGCCTGTTTGCCACAGTTTGTTGACGCTGTTATAGAATAACATGAACTCACCACTATGACTCTCATTTATGTTTAAAAAAGGAGAACAACTATTTGTTGTATTCTTTTCAGCTAAACAGATGTTGTGAAACTGCAGAGACAATGAGTTCTGAGTTCCAAGAATCTATCTATATATTAAAAACCCATGTATTCTTCTTAGTCATTTCCATCCCATACAATATTATAAATCAGATTAAACTAGAATTGGGGGAATAACTGAACTCAGATAAGGGAGGAAAGTTGAAAAGTATTCAGTGTTTATAGACTGTAGTAGGGACTGCTACTTGTCCCTCAATACCCATTCTCCCTTTCTTCCTTTTAGAAACTCCAAGATTTTAGCCACTTAGTTACAATGTACATATGTAGGTTCATGCCACTACAAGAAAAACAAACAAACAAACAAACAAAAATACAAAAACAAAGCTGCTTGCCCTCTACTTTCCCATTCCTGTATACAGGGGCAAGCAGGGTTGGGGATCAGCTCAGGAGTCATCTTCAGTCATGCAGATGAGGGCTGCTATTGTTGGAATTCCCTCCAAAACTCATGTTGAAATTTAGCGGCTGTTTTTACAATATTAAGAGATAGGACCTTTAAGAGGTGATAAGGCAGAGCCCTCATGAGTGAGATTAATGCCATTATAAAAGGGCGAGTTCGATCCCCTTTTGCCTCTTTGCCCTTCCACCATCTGAAGGTGCAGTGTTCAAGGTGCCATCTTGGAGTCGGAATCATCAAATCTTCTGGTGGCTTGATGTTAGACTTTTCAGCCTCCAAAACTGTGAACCAATAAATTTCTGTTTATAAGTTACCTGTGGTATTCCACTGTGGCAGCATGAAATGGACCCAGACAAGGGGCTGACCATTGGGAGATAGCAAAGTAAAAAGAAAGAGGAAAGGATCTAGGTCCTTAGATAATTCTGTGAAGCAAATCTACCCTATCCCTGTAAACTGTCAACCAGATAAACTTTTTCATGAGAGATAAATCAATCTCTCGGTTTGCTTAAGCCACTTATGTTCTCTGATAAAACAGTTAAAACCAATATTTTAACTAGGACACAAATTGACTTTCTCACTACTAAACAGGGTGGCCTGCCAACCATTCTTAGTAGTTACTTGAAGGATTCCTAGCCTATGATTCCATTTATTCTCTCAATGATAAAATAAATACCATACCTGGGCAGAAGAGCAATGCATGTTGTGAGGATACAAACTAAATAGAATACTGGATCCAGCATGTGCTCCTGCATAATCCAGTAGGGGTTGGATGGTGGGTTGCAAGTTACACACATGGCTCCAAAAACTATGGCAAATAAAAAATAAGACAAGATGCTACCAGTGATGACCAGCATGTGAATCCAAGTCTGTAAGACAAGACGAACAGAGGAAATGAATGCTCTCTCACTGATACGGTATTGCCACCTGGACAAATCTGCTCCATTAAAGAGACAACACATCTAAGCACTGGATGAATGGTGTAACAAACCTTAACAAACAAAATATAAGATATCAGAGAGATGGGAGTATCTTTTGTGAATGAGTTACCTCACTGTTTGAATTCTGTAAAACTAACTCAAATGCCAAAAGGGAATTCTGTGGACTAGTTTATTCTATACTATCCATGCACCAAGAGGTGTCTGGATTTTCTCCTTAATTTTTTTCATATAGTTACTCATTGGTCTGTTTCCTTATTAATGTAATACCTTAACCCAGTGAACCTCAAACTTAAGCCATTCAAATAGGTGTTAGACAGTACTGTTGCTCATGAATACTGTCATTCTGCTCCCTGAGTAAGCATTCAGATGGATGATATTTCCACACTCCCTTGAAATTAAGCATGGCCATATGTCTTGCTTTGACTAATAAAATGTGATTACAAGGGGTATATAAAACTTTCAGATTAGAAGCATGTAAGAGTGGTCTGCAGTTTTCCATGCTGTCTCCTTCCTTCCATACTGACCAAGAAGTTCTCTCAGAGGACAGTTGCTTCTAGAGCTGTCTGGACTATCAGCCAACTTTATATGAGCAAGAAATAAATGTCTGCGTGTCATACCACAGCCTAGCTACTTTCATATTCATGTATATCTTGCAATATGATTTTTCTTAACATTGGCTCACTAATTAAGTAACTTTATCTAGAAAGAAAAGTACAATGAGATATCATCCCACAGACACTGGTTAGGATGTGGAGACAAGGGAACCCCTGTACATTGTTGATGGGAATGTAAATTAGTACAACCACTATGGAGAACAGTTTGGAGGTTCCTCAAAAAACTAAAAATTGAGCTACTGTATGATCCAGCAATCCCACTGCTGGTTGTACACCCAAAAGAAAGGAAATCAGTATATCAAAGAGATATCTGCACTCCTATGTTTGCTGAAGCACTGTTTATAATAGCCAAGATTTGGAAGCAACCTAAGTGTTCATCAACAGATGAATGGATAAAGAAACTGTGGTATATCTACATGATGGAGTACTATTCAGCCGTTAAAAAGAATGCAATTCTATCACTTACAACAACATGGATGGAACTAGAGGTCATTACGTTAAATGAAATAAGCCAGGCACAGAAAGACAAATACTGCATATTCTCACTTATTTGTGGGATCTAAAAATCAAATCAATTGAACTCAGGGACATAGAGAGTAGAAGGATGGTTATCAGAGCCTGGGAAGGGTAGTGGAGGTATCAGGGGAGGTGGGGATGGTTAATGGGTACAAAAGAAAAATAGAAAGGATGACTAAGACCCACTATTTGATAGCATAATGGGATGACTATAGTCAATAATAATTGTATATTTTAAAATAAAGGATCTATTTGGATTGTTTGTAACTCAAAGGATAAATTCTTGAAGGGATGGATATCCCATTCTCCATGATGTGCTTATTTCACATTGCATCCCTGTATCAAAATACCTCATGTACATCATAAATATATACAGCTACTATGCACCCGCAAAAATTTTAGAAATATAAAAAGAAATTTAAATTAAAAAATGAAGAAAAGTGTATGCCTACTTTAAATGTATGAGGTCGGTGCAAAAATAATTGCGTTTCTTTGGCACCAACTTCATAATATTAACATTCTCTGTTATAAAAGAGCTGAGTCTGGGGTTTGATTAATCTTTATTATAAAGAGAAATTAGCAAGAATTACTGTGATAAAACATAATAGCATCAAATGAGATATCTCTCTGATATAATCAGAAGTATGTAGTATTTAGTGTTATTTAGTGCAGTATGCAGTATTACCTAAAATCATGGTGTGTACTATTGCTAGCACATATCATACTTTTTAGGGAAACACTGCTTTTATTAATCTCTTTTATTTTCTAGGGCTATAATTTTCAAATAAGTTAGATTTTCTTCTTTTCTCTCCTAATCTTGCAAGGTATTTCCCCATGGCAGATATCTTCACAAGAGTCACACAGACTGCTTATTTTTTAATAAAATGTACAAACGAATAGAAAAATGTTAGCTAACTCCTGGATTAAGATCTTCATCCTGCTAAAACAGTAATTCCTTTTTTTTTTTTTTCTTTCTCAAATGTCTTTGCTTCTATTTGAGCCATATTGCTCCAGTTTTTTATCTCTTACAACATGCTTTGGCCAGGTGCAGTGGCTCACGCCTGTAATCTCAGCACTTTGGGAGGCTGAGACGGGTGGATCAGGCGATCGAGACCATCCTGGCTAACATGATGAAACCCCGTCTCTACTAAAAATGCAAAAACAAAATTAGCCAGGCTTGGGGGCAGGCACCTGTAGTCCCAGCTACTCGGGAGTCTGAGGCAGGAGAATAGAATGAACCCGGGAGGTGGAGCTTGCAGTGAGCCGAGATCACGCCACTGCACTCCAGCCTGGGCTATAGAGCAAGACTCCCTCTCAACAACAACAACAACAACAACAACAAAACATGCTTTTGGCAAGTGAGATAGAGACTTCATAGAGTTTATACATTTAAGTGAATTGATACAAAGAAGTGAAAGTCAAAGAATACTGGGTAAAAACCAACAAGGGAAGTGGGAGGTGGCAATGAGATGGTGAATAAGAGCATGAAGGGAAAGAGTTTGATACTTTCAGAATGGCTGACTTTTATTGACAAGAGATCTGCAGGGCCAGGATTTCTAGCCATGCATCCTCCAGCATAAGAAACAATTCTTGAATGATGCATCCTTTCAATAGCAGTCTCTGTTCATCTTTGACTCTAGCTTTCACTCCCCTTCTTGGTGAGGACACCCAACATTGTGTGCAGCCTTGGCAAAATATTCCTCCCATAGTCAAAGCCTGTGACTGAAGCTAGGGAAATAGGATTCTATCACAATATAATAGACTTGGAGCACAACGGGGCAAGAGCAGAAAGAAAATGAATGGAGCCAGTTCAGACCAGAGGACCATCCTGACAAGTCTGTCCATTAGTTTCTGCTCTGTACATCTCCAGAGTCACTCTGGTTTCTCAGACATTTTTGCTTTTCTTTATTTTGTTCTATCATGGTTCTTCATTATATATTTTTAATAATTTTTCTATTTGCTCAGGTTATTCAGATGATGTTGCTCATAATCAGTGAATCCAGACTGATACACTTTATATGTTAAATCCTCTGGAACACTAATAAATGTCAGAACCTTTGGCATTTTCTCAGGTGGCCACCAAAAGTACCAATGCAATGGCTTAAAAATTGAATAGGTATAAAAACAATCCCAAATATTTCAGTTCTAGAATTTCCTTTACTCTACCCATCTGGTATTTGCAGATATTAACCTTTTACTACATTTTAGCTTGTAAGATTTTGTTATAGATTATAAGCAAAGCAAATAATGTCCAAAATAATCAGCCCTACTTTAGAAATTGTTATAAATAATTTTGTAATATAACTGCATATATTTTAAACTATAACCTTATTCAGCTATTTCCTATTTAAAATTCATATATTATCAGGACGGTAAACATAACCCCAAAACTGACTATTTAATCATTTATTTATTCATTCAAATATTTTTTGAGCACCTGCTGTGTGCCAGTCTTGTCCTTAACACTGTATGCAGTGGTGAACAAAATAGGCATGAACCCTGCCCTCACAGAGAGCATAGTCTAATGTGGAAGATAAACATGAATAAGGTAATCACATTTTTTTTTGTTTGTTTTTAGAGACAAGGTTTCTTTCTGTTTCCCAAGCTGGAGTGCAGTGGCATGATCATAGCTTACTGCAGAGCTCACTGTTGGGCTCAAGTGAGCCTCCTCCTCAGTCTCCCAAGTAGCTAAGACTGCTGGCATGTGCCATGACACACAGTTAGTTTTGTTATTTTTTGTGGAGACAGGGTCTCATTATGTTGCCTAGGCTGGTCTTGAATTTTTAGCTTCATGTGATCCTCCCTCCTCAGCCTCCCAAAGCTCTGGAATTGCAGGTGTGAGTTACTGCACTTGGCCTCAGATAATCACATAATTAAATAAATAATTATAAATTATGATTAGAGTTATGAGTAAAAGAAAGAGAATGCTATCAGAGAATGGGTGGTTAGGGAAAGGCTGTGGGGAAAATTATATTTTTGATGAAATCTAAATAACATATAAGTTGGGTAAAGTGCAGGGATGCAAAAGGGAATGAAAATTACCTCCATTAAAAGATAAGTTAAGTGCCAAGATCCTGACGTGGTAATCAGTTCAATGTATTGAAGAAACTGAAAGAGGGATAAGATGGTTCCAGCCCATGAATATGTGGAAATGAGGTTGGAGAGAGAAGTACAGCATCACTGCACCATTTTAGGGCTTTCATATTTTATTCCAAGTACAATGGGAAACCACTGAAGGGTTTTACCCAAAGGGGAGCCAAAAAAAGATTTTTTTTTTTTTTTGTTTTTTTATGAGGAAGGCATAAAATCATCCCTAAAGTCACTGTACCAGGATTATGATACAACACCTTTTTTCCATTTTCACTGAAAGTAATCAGCTTGGTCTTGAAGAATGAAGGTTAAGTATCCCTCCAGTCTGTCTCACATCTCCATGAACCCTCCACCACTGATACTATCAAAGGGAGCAAGGCAGGTGTTTTCCACTTTCCCCAGCTACACATCAATCTCAGCATAATGGCATTCAGTGATCACCCAGAGTAGCTGTGATCACCCTTCTCCCATAGATTCATTACTCTTCTCATTACCACTTATCTTCAGGGTCACTGCTAATAGAAGACATATCCCCAAGACATATTAGCATAAAAGATTTTAGGCTACTTCAGAGGTGAGAAAACCACTCACCAAACTCTTGCTTTCAATGATCAGATGGAGGAGAATGATGAACAGAGCAGCTGTGTTCAGGGGGTTTCCAAATGCAAAGATGTCAATATCTGAGCCCTGGTAGGTCTAGAAAGAGAGGACATTAGATGATCCTGGATAGTTGTGCAACTTGGTGTGGGTAACATCACTTTATCTACAATTCAACCAAGGCTTGAGTCCCTTCTACAAGGTCCCTATGAACTGGCCATTTGAAATAAACTTGAACATTTTCACAAGTAAGAGACTGACTCTCTCCCAGACAGGGCATCTAATCTTCAATTTTTTTCACCTGGAATTCCTCTTTATTCTGAATTATAATTGATCCTCCTGGAACCTTTTACTCACACTGCTAGCTTTTTAAGGTATAGAGAAATTTGTTCTATTTAACAGAGCTACAAATCTTTGAGGCAGCTATTATGACTATCTTTCTGAGGAAAATATACCCTCCTTTCCTATATGTCTTCAAGTCCTTAAACTATTCCTCTGATGACACAATTTTCTCATGTTTCACCATCATCTTCATTCTCTTCTGAATATACTTCAGACTGTCTTGTTTATATTTCTCCTGAAGTGCAGTATAGCTAGAAAACTCTAGCAAGGCTAATTCAAATGATTTTATTTGAATAAAGAATAAAAATTGTTAATTTAGAAATGATAATCTTTTTCATTCTTAATACTGTGCTTCTATTGACACCACCCATGATAGAGGTGTTTTCTTTAGGAGAGGGGTATATGTGGATGAGCAGCTATACAATGCTGCTTTGTGCTTGGTGTTAGCCTAAATTTTTTAAAATTAGAGTTTATATATTCTTTGCTTTGTTACATTTCTTCCATTCTTTACCTGTAAAACAGATTTTATAGTTTTAGAGACACTACTTATAGAATCTTAAATTTAATGCTCTGAATATCATTCGAGTAGAATTAGCCCAGCACTCACTAATAAAAGCTGTCATATTCTGGCATTTCCTCTCCGATTTCTTTTAGACAGGGTCTCAGTCGGTTATCTAGGCTGGAGTGCAGTGGCACGATCACAGTTCACTGAGTTCACTGCAGCCTAGACCTCTGGGGCTCAAGCGATCCTCCAACCTCAGCCTCCCAAATAGCTGGGGCCATAGGTCCACACCACTACACTCACCTAATTTTTAAATTTTTTGTAGAGACGGTGGCCTCACTGTGTTGCACAGGTTGGTTTCAAACTCCTCAACTCAAGCAATCCACCTGCCTTGGCCTCCCAAAATGCTGAGATTACAGGTTGAGCCACTGTACCCAGCCTGTCTGATTTTTGACTAATCTAATTATATAGCCAGACATCCAATTTTGTTCAAGTCATTGATAAAAATTTTTAAGCAGTACAGGGTTAACAAGAGGCCTAAGAGGACTCAAACTAGGTATGTCTATCTAAATTTAATCCATTACCTAACATATAGTTTTGGGAAGATTATACTTTAGTCAGTTTATAATCAACTTGATTATATGAGCAATCTGCCCTCCTTTATGCTGATATTGGTGGCATAGTACAAAGAAGCATTAATGATTCATTAATAACAAATATACTGAGTGAACAAAGACTCACAAAATAAGGCACAAAGAAGCAGACCAGGCTTTGATAAAAAGCATCCAATAAGGTGATCCAGAAGGTACGGGGTAAGTATGCCTAGAAATGAAGCAGATAACGGGGAGGGAGTAAGATTAACAAGGGTCCAAGAAAAGAAACAACACAAGCCAGTACTTACATTTGTTTCTCTGAGAGAAAGCTTCATTTCTTCAGGTGGTGTTTGTCAACAGAGGTAAAGATAAGGGTAACTGAATGTGATGGGTTCACAAGTAAACATGATGAAAAAAATCCTTGAAGGAATGTTTATTCAACTCATGTTGCCTTTATTACAGGATAAATTTTAAATCTAGCTGAAATACAGCCAGTAGTACTAACTTCTCCTTTCCTACCGATCAGAAAGTACTGTTCCAAAACTTCTCCAACTCTATCCATTCCTCTTTCTCTAAATTACTCCTTTCATTCCAATTCACTATCAACTGTCTCTATGAATGGCTGGATAGCCATCTAACCACCCTCTTTGCTTCCTCCCCTATTCTCAATCCAATCTTCCCAAATCAGCCAGATGGTCTTAAACCCATTTCCCATTTAGAAAAAAAAAGGCAGCTTGCTGCCCTTTTTTCCAATTTCTTAAGGCAAATTGGAAATGGACTTAAAAAAATGTAAACTAGGTTATGTCATCTCTCTAATTAATCAAATTGACTCCTTCCACTCCCTCCAATGACTTCCCACTGCATTTCCAACACAATCTAAGTTTCTTCTCATGACCTATAAGGTCCTACCTGGTTTGCTCACTGAATAGTTCTCCAGGTTACTTCTTGCCATTTTGATTCTGCAATATGGACCTTCATTCTTTTCCTCAAATGTGCCAGATGCATTCTTTTCTCAGGGATTTACCTGTGCTGTTCTCTCTGCCAGGAATTCTTGTCCTGGACCTCCTACATGAGCAGTTCCTTATTACTTGTATCCTAGCTCAAATATCTCTTCCTCATACAGGCACACCAAGCCAGTCTAAAAGTTGTGCCCACTCAGGCGCTTACTACCATGGAAACCTGAGAAGTATCTCATCACCATCAGGAATAATTATATCTGTTTAATAAATTTTCTAGTTTTGTCAGTGGAATGCAAACATCATAGAGTAGAACGCTGACTCTTTTATTCAAGTGACTAAAACAGTGTCTTGTACATACCAGGTGCCCAACAAATATTTATCAGGTTAATAAACTATTTGTATACAAGTTTTCATGTAGTAAACTTCTTCCTACACAAATCTTAGAGAAAAAAAGAAAACATAAGAGACAAAAAAAAAAAAAAAAAAAAAAAAAAAGAAAAGAAAAAAATAGTCAAATGATTGAAAATGACTTTTCAAACAAGAGCCAACTCTGAGGTTGGATTCTGGGGCTGTGTGAAGGATTCTGAGGCTGCATTCAGATCCAGCAGGAAAGAGTGCTATCATTTATTAGTGATATCTGCCATGAACAAAATTGGAAAACCATGTGTCACATCCCCAAGCTAGTCTTTTCCTAACATGTTCTCAGTCTTGTTTTCCTCCAAATGCAGAGGCTGAAGCTTCCTTGAAAATGTTACACTGTCTCTTAAAGAACAAAACTTATATACAAATTCTCCATATATGTTCTTCCATTCTTTAAAATAATATACTTGGAATTTTTACATCTATGCCTTTTTATCCCTTCGTCCTCTGGAAAATCAAAGCAATGAAGATTCATTGCTTCCAGTCCACTTTTCTCTATATCTTCTTCTATTATTTCCTCATTGGATATGAGGGATATTCTGCCTACCTTTCTTTATCCAAATGTCCATACAATCTCGGCAGAACCCCAATCCAATGGTGGAAGAGAATGTGCCAGAGACAAAGGGGCAAGCAAAATGCCACTGGACAAGAGAGAACCACTTAGAGATAAGTTAAAATATAACTTCATGCATCTGGGGAAATAGAGGTTGCTCAAAGAACCTAGAGTAAAACGAAAGAAATACAATTTTCCACGGTCACATGAGGAATAGGGCTTACAAAAGTAAAGAGAGAAGGATCATGATTAAGATAAATGAGAGGCTGGAGGGATTAACTCACGGGGTCCACTGGAAACTGAAAGGGGAAAGTCTGGACATGAAGCCAAAGCCAGAAAAAAAAAAAAAAAGACTGTGTGGGTGACGAGACATGGGGGTGAGGCTTCGTGGAAGGGAAGCTTCTGATTGCAGACTTCCAGACTCATCTTTAGAGGAGAGAGATTCTGTAGCCCTGGAGAGAATATTTAATGACACTGAACACAGGAAAACGATCCAAGCATAAAACATAATTTTGTTGGAGGCCAAGTTCAAAGAAAGCACAAATTTTAGAAGGTAAAGTAAATGAAATCAGTTACCTTTTATCAGTAGCTACATGCTGGGAAAATCTGCCTACCACGATCATGTTTTATATAACTGGCCAGTTAACTAGAACAATGTGTACAAAGGATTGGTGAAAGGATTCAACAACAGGAAACAATGATCTCATTTATCTCAAGGATAAGGACCAATAACAATCTTTAGTCCATACAAACGGGCTTTTAAAATACGGGCTATAAAAACTTTGATTGAAAATCTCCCTCAACCCTCCTTTCCTCAATGGATTTGGAATTTCAGTTATGCCTGGGGAGTGGGACAAGCTTCACTGACATCAATCACATGTTCTTGTATCCTGGCTTGAACTTGAAGTCAGACTGGACTCCTTTAGGAAAACCCATGTAGTTCCTTGGTCTGAATGGATTGGATGATATTAAAGGATTATAAGGACCCCTTCTTTCCTGAAAGCTGAATCTGTGATTTCTCTGTCGGTTGTTCTAGGTAGTGTAAGGACACTAAATGACTCTCCATTCCAGAAAGGCATTTTAAGTCAGAATAGTTAGACTGATGAAAATAAATGCATTATTTTAAATTCGGGATTTCCTCAAATTTCTGGTTAATTCCGGAAGGTAAAAATGACAACATTGAGAGTTTACTATGGCTGGAAACTGTACCTGTATTATCTTCCTTAATCCTCACATCATTCCCATAAAGAACCTGCCGCACAGGCAAGTTAAAAAATTTACCAACGTCACATACCACAGAACCAGAATTTAAACTGAGAGTAAACATAACCTATTCTTTCTAACATATACCGAACCACTTTTTAGTGGTGGGATTTCTTGAAAAATTACTTAACCCCTTCGAGGTTCAGATTCTTCATCTTAGAATGGGACCAACACTAGGTTCTGTCTCAATGTGTTTTCATGAAGATAAATCAGACAGGCGATGTTAAGTAGTTAGCACAATAGATGGCAATGGGGTTTAGTAAATGTTAGATATTATTGGTTGTAAGATCAAACTTTAGATTTCTTCTTATAAGTACATAAGGCCCTTCATAGATTAATCTGTATTTACCTCAAGGGCAAGTAAGTTAATATCTGCCACATGAGTAGAGATCTTTCAAAACAATCAGATATTTCAAACAGTTCTGAGTGGACTGCAATATTTGGCTAATTAAGAAAACACACTGGCTTTTACAATGGATATGGATCCATCCAAGCACTCTTGCTTTAACACCTACCTCTGATTTCTGACCACTTTTGTAAAGTTCAGGCAGTTGCATGAGGGTCTCTGCAGACACGTCTTTCTCCAAAACACCGTAAATGACGGGAGGGGCAGATGTGAAGAGGAGGTTGAAGAAGATCAAAACCCAGTAATCAGTCATAGATGTTCCTGAAAATCCACAAAAGAACTGGTACCAGAAAAGGAGGTTCACATAGGCCTAGAGATACAAAGAAGGACATTCAGATCTTAGAATCAGTAATGGGTGCTATGATTACACATTCCAAATGCTGCCATTTTGAGCTGGGTGACCTCAGCCTCTCTGCAGTTTTCTTATATAAGAGAGGACCACAATTTACCTTGCAGCTTTTTTTGGTAAATATTTTACTAAAGTGTGCACATGTATGTACACACACACACACAGACACACACACACACACCCCACCTATTATGTGGTGCTAGCTCTGTTCTAAGTGCTTTGTGAATAATTCATTTAATCATCATAACAACTTGGGAATTAGATTGTTGTTCCCATTTTACAGATCAGGAAACTGAGTGTAATTAACTGAATGTTTGTATCCTCCCAAAATGTATATGAAATCCTCTTGAAACAAAACTCCCTCTATCTAAGTCCAATGTCCTTTCCTGTAGTCTGCCCTGCTTGAGAGCGCAGAGCACTATCCCCACTGTGACAATGTTAGGAGGTGGTACCTTTGGGAGGTGATTAGGCCATGACATCGGAGGCCTCATGACTGGAATCAGTTTCTTTATAAAAGAGACCCCAGTAAGCTCTCATCATCTCATCTCTTTTTATGTAAGGATATAATGAGAAATCTACAATCCGGAAGAAAACCCGCACCAGAACCTGACCATTCTAGTACCCTCATCTGGATTTCCAGCCTCCAGAATGGTGGGGAAGAAATGTTGTTTACAAGCCACCTGTCTGTGGTACTTTGTTACAGCAGCCTGAACTAAGATACTGAGGCACAGAGAGACTAAGAAACTTGCCCAAAGCCATGTGGCTAGTAAGTAGCAGAACCAGTATTCAAATTGAAGGATTCAACACTAGATGAAGAGAGTCTAGCCCAGTGCCTGGCACAGACATGGAGCAGGCACAGCACAAACATCCATTTTCTTGCCTTCTGGGTTGATAAATGCATAGTGGTGAAATGGAATGGTGCCAGCAGAGTGGTCAACCATCCCACTTTTCTTGGGACTGAGGGGTTTCCCAGGCTTTGGGATTCCCAGTGCTAAAACCGGAACACTCTCAGGGAAACCAGGATAGTTGGTGACCCTAGAGGCCAGGCACAGGGATTCTACATGGTTTCTTGCAGTATTTTGTCTCAGACAAACTAAGTTCACTACAAAAAGCTCTGTGCTCTCAAGCAGGGCAGGCCACAGGAAAGGACATTGGACTTAGAGGGAGTTTTGTTTCAAGGCTGGGGGATACTTCCAGTTGATTCTTTGCCTTTAGGTCATTTCCCTAACCTCCCTGAATTATTATTTCCTGCTCTGTAAAATGAGAATTATACTACCTTAGGGCTTAGTATTAAGATCAAGTTAGAAAATGGTCATCATCAGCCAGATGCAGTGGCTTATGCCTGTAATTCCAGCACTCTGGGAGGCCAAGGCGGGCAGATCACTTGGAGACCATCCTGGCCAACATGGTGAAATACTATCTCTACAAAAAAAAACTCCAGATATTAGCTAAGTATGGTGTGGCATGCCTTTAGTCCCAGCTTCTCAGGAGGCTGAGGTTGCAGGATAGCTTGAACACGGGAGGCAGAGGTTGCAGTGAGCTGAGATCATGCCACTGCACTCCACTCTGAGGGACAGAATGAGATCCTGTCTCAAAAATCAAACACACAAACAAGAAAGTAGTCATGATCTGTAAAATGTCTTATTAAACAAAATATTGTCATCATAGATACACTAGAACCTCAGGACAAGGGCCACAATCCCTAGAATAGATTTTCAATTTCCTGATCTCTTGACCTCGTGATCTACCTGCCTCAGCCTCCCAAAGTGCTGGGATCACAGGCGTGAACCAACGTACCTAGCCAGAATAGATTTTCTTAGTCTAGTGTCTACGGACATGGATCATGCCCAGTTTCTAAAAATGTATGGTTTGTGGTTTGGGACACTATTCTGGGGGAATGAATCCATAGTCTTCATTGGGACCTCAAAGGTTGTCCAACATCCAAGAACCATGGTCTCAGAAAGATAAGCTGCTCTAATGGCTTCTGGTCCAAGCCCTTTGCATAGCATATAAAATATGCATTGTTTAGCTAGGTAAATAACAGATATCAGTTAAGTCTGGAGATTATCAGTATGAATGGCCACTCAAGGATTATGGAGCAGGAAGACCACCGAGGTCCTGATTCTCTCTACTAATGAACACTCCCTCTCTTCGAGAGTGTATAGCATCTCCTCCTAATACTAGTATTTGTTTACTGTTGGATTCAATCTGGAGTTAAAAGGAGGTGAGGAGGTGAATGGATATTGCCACAATTGGGGAGAAGGTGAACAAATGCAAAGGTTTAAAATAAAAACTTGGGAGAGGGGCTCCTCTTTAAAAGCCATTGGCCACTAAGTTCTGGAATTGTAAATTACAAGCTGCAGTTTTCCCCAGAAGCACATACTCAGGCAGAGATTTTATACGTTTCAAATATTTTCCTAAAGTATCTGAGTTTTACTAAACTTTGACTAACTGCACTAATTCTAATTAGTAAAGTCTTGAGCGATTCCTGAAAAGTGTATTGTGCTGCAGGAAAAAAAAATATTCCTACTGATGGACATACACACTCACGCACACAGAGTTCTAAATTACACATTTGGGATCTCCTAAAAATGACTTTTTTTTCCTGAAAATGGTATTTTAATAGAGTGATATCAACCCATGTCTACTACTAACATACTACATATGGACTTTAAAAACTAAGAGTGAATTTGGCCTAAAATTCATGATATTTACATAATTACCCCACTTAGAAGATACTTACATCTGATTACGTATGATTTTATAAAAAGAGGAAAATGAAATTTAAATAGCAAGCTGAAGATTAGAGGCCTGGATTTCTAATCAAATTCTGCCCTTTTATGGAATTAAATAATCAAAATATAATTCCTTTATCGTTAAATAACTACTGAGCACAAATACATTTTATAGGTTGGCTAGAGAATTCTTGCATCTGTGAGCAACAGCCAGCTACATGCTAAGACATACTAGGTTTTCATCTGTATCTGTGTCTTTACTATAATACACGGGGCATTAATATGGAAGAGTTGATATTTTTTGATATTTCCAGTAAAACAGATGCAAACCTTTTCATTCTCTACTGACAGATAGCGTTAAACATTTCATAATTCTTTTGTCACAGCCTTTTTTTAATGGAAGGTTAAAAACTGGATTTTAAATGAAACAGACAGGACTTAATTTAAATGCACAGGGAGTAGAAAATGTTAGCAGATGGACAAGCCTGGCAATTTGCTGTCAGCAGCTGAAACAGCACATTCCAGCTTAGTCCTGATAAGACAGCAAGACTGGTCCTGGCTGTTCCCAATACATCAATAAGGAAAGTGAGTTTAGCATAGGACACTTCCCCTTCATTCCTGATGCAACAGGCTTGGAAGGCATGAAGGGAAAAGGCACAAATTCTCTGGGGTTACATACCACATTCTTATAGAAAAAATAGAGAATCATGTTGGAAAGCCGTGTATAACACCAGTGTCCGTGGACAAGAAGGAGCTTGCTGAGATGTTTGAACTGAGAAACGGCAAAGTCACTGGCCATCACAGCCTGCAGATGCAATGGGGAGAGAATGCCATCCTGAATGATCAAACATGTTAGAACAGACACAGCACAATTCTTGGGGAACTCATATTCTACCTTCTCATATTCTCATATTCTACCTTCTTCTGACAGCATTTGTTCCATACATGAATGAAAATCATTTTTTGGATTACGAGCTTTTATCTGAATTTTGTGCCTAAAATACCATCCCACACACACAACCACATATACATATACACACGTGCACACAAATAGGACACTCCCACTTCCTTCCTTCTCCTCTCATACCCTCTTCTTTCCCTTTTTTTTCCTCCCTCACCTGCCTCAAGATCTTTAGGTCCTTCATTCAAATCCTTAGTAGCTTCTTCAGAGTCAGAATTTACGCAGCTATTGCAGGACTAAAACATATATTCCTATGATTTAGGTAAGCTCTATTTTTAACAGGTAAATTATACAGCTAAAATTATCCAGGAAATGCCATAATACTCACCTAGTAAAAAAATCAGTGAATGGATAGATAAACTTCCTGTCTCCCACTCCTCAGCTAGCCACACACAGCCTCTCTCTGCCACAGAGAATTTACCGTGGAGAATGCTGCCTTTGGATGGGCAGGTCAAGGCCACAGAACTTGGGTGCACAATATCCACTTACCTGCATGCCTTCTTGACCTGAGACTCCTATTCCAATGTCTGCCACTTGTATCATGCTAACATCATTGGCACCATCACCTTCATGAGGCAGAAAAAAAGGACAGAAACATATGAGGAGTAAAGAAAGGGTGTAAATGTTGCAAATCGATAGGAGCAGCTCAAGTGAACAAATAAATCCTTCAAAGTTCATCCCTTTCTCCAAGTTTCCTGGAAGTAAGTTAAACAGAAATGAAGTGTCATCCCACTGCCATCAGGAAGAATTCCAAACTCAACACTGCTTTAAACTGCTTCACGCTACCTACCCAGACTGATCTTGTTTTTCATGTCACTCATGCTACCTTCCATTCTCCAGATACACCCTTCTCCCTGTAGCCATGCACGTGATAACACTGTCCTTATCACCCGCAGCTCACTTTGCTGGATTTCAATTTTTCTTGCTCTCAGCTTAATAATTGCTATATATAATGTATGATATAAATTATAAGTATTATATATAATTCATATAAATATAATTATAATGTAATAAATTATAATTATGTTATATATAATTATAAATCCAGGAGTTTTTGCTTCAGAAACATCTGGATCCATAAGCTTGAATAATTCATTTATTTGTTTATTCAACAAGATAACTGAACGAAATTCCACCCTAATCCTGAAACTTTACTGCAGCAATCTGAAAAGTGATGCTATCTTTTCACCTAAGTTGTTAATAGGATATGATGGAAACCCAGGAGTTTTACTGGCTACATCACCACCCTGGGGGGAAAGTTACCTGAGACTGGAAGCAGTCCAGAGGGAAAACAGACATTGAAAGAGAGCGCTGATAGGCCAAGTCTTCAGCTTAACACTGGAGTCTCTGAGATCTTAATCTCATACTACAATTCTCTTCAGTTATACTCATTCTTTGGTGTCAAGGCTTTAATATCCACTAGACTCTTTTTTTTTTCTTTTCTTTCTTTTTTTTTTTGGGACAGAATCTTGCTCTGTCACCCAGGCTGGAATGCAGTGGCACAATCTCAGCTCACTGCAACCTCTGCCTCCCGGGTTCAAGTCATTCTTTGCCTCAGCCTCCCTAGTAGCTGGGATTACAGGCTCCCACCACCATGCCTGGCCAAGTTTCGTATTTGTAGTAGAGGTGGGGTTTCACCATGTTGGCCAGGCTGGTCTTGAACTCCTGACCTCAAGTGATCCACCCACCTCGGCTTCCCAAAGTGCTGGGATTACAGGTGTGAGCCACTGTACCCAGCCTGATATCCACTAGACTTCTGATTCTCAAATTCACATCTCTAGCCAATTTCTTATTCCTAAATTCCAGACTTTTATTCTCGCTTCACACCAATATCACTGCTTAGACATTTAATGGCCTTTTCAAACTTCACATGAGTAAGACCCAATTCCCAATTTCCCCTGCCTCTATCTCAGTAAATGGCAACTCTGTTCTTTCTGTTCTTAGACATAACTTTGGCATTCCCTTTGACAACTCTTTCTCTCATATAACATATCCAATATGCCAGCAAATGTCACTGGGTCTTTTTTTAGACCATGCCCGTTATCTGACCACGTCCCAACCCTTCCTTGGCTCCCAGCTGTGCCCAAGCCGCCATCATCTCTTGCTGAATTGTCAGAATTGATTTCGTATGTCTCTGCAGTCCAACAATTACTCTGACAGAACAGCCAACATGATCATTTTCAATTTAAGGCAAATCATGTCCCACTTCTGCTGAAAATCCTTCAATGGCTCCCTAATTTTACAATGTCCTCTAAGACCCTGTGTGATCTGGCCCCCTGCCGCTTCTCTGACCTTTAATAACCTGCACAAAACTCCTCCCTTTGCTTAATCAGCTTTGTCCTCAAACACACCAAACATGGTTCCCCTCATGGCTTTCATCCAGGAATGTTCTTCCCCGTGTCTCCCATGGCCCCTTTATGATTTCCTTCATGTCTCTGCTCCCAGTCAACCTTAGCAGTGAGACCTTCTTGGAAAATCGTGCTGAAAAGAGCAGCCCCAGCCTATCTCCAGTGCTCTACATCTCCTTAGTCCACTTTATTTTTTCAATAGTACTATTTTTCAATATCACTATCTGATACCTTACAGATTTATGCTTTGTTTTACTGTATGCCTTCCTACTAGATGTAAGTTCCTTGTAAAAAGGTACTTTGTCCATTTTATATACTCTTGTATCTCCATTCCTTAGAAAAATGCCTGGTACAAAGAAGGCACTTGATAAATATTTGTGGAATGGATAAATGAATTGTCATGTCCTTGAATTTAGCTTTCCTGAAGGTAGAACACATGAATTTTTCAGTTCTGTGATTCAGTTTATTACTCGGCTTAAGCTTGTTGATTTGGGGGTCTGACACTAAACTAAGAAGTCTGGACTATTTTATTGTTTACCATGTCACATCCCTGCTACCTGGTTCACAGAAGGTGCTCAAATAGGCGATAGAGGAAGGTGCTCAAACAGGTGATGGGAAGGAGTGAATGTGGTAGAGAGAAAGGGAGGAGGAAAATGGAAGGAGCACTGGGAGAGGAAAGAGACAGAAGGATCGGTGTCTGGTGTGGTGTGAAAAGAAGAAGTGCAGGACTTGGATTCATCCTCACTCACCAATGGCGAGGGTCATCACCCGGAGATGGCTGCGGACCAATTTCACCACTTCACTTTTCTGCAGAGGTGTGGCTCGGCAGCAGACCACAGTTTGACACCAAGATGTCAGTTCCAGGAACTGCTTTTGTAGACTTTCTTGCAGAGCAAACTCCAGAGTCTTCCCAGTGATAATGAGTCCAGCTCGTAACCCGGAGTCCTGGGGGACAGGAGGCTGATGTAAATCTACACTTAATGACACTTGCTCTGGCAGGGCTTGAGTTTTCTTCTGAAGTTCTTTTAAAATTGTGCTCATCAGCATCCCACAGGCATCCTTGAAACAAGAGGCAAAGGTGGTTAGCCTCCAGGCTCCCTGGGTGCCAGAACCAGTTACATTTTTTGATTGTCATTTTTTAACAATTGCTGAATCAAGAAAACCTCAAATAATGAATAACTGATTATTTTCAAAGATTTTACGAGTCTTCCACAGAGAGTTCTGTGTGTATGTGGGGATGGGTTAAAAGGAGGGGGAACATCTCACCCCCAACTGTATTTCTTATAAAGAAATAGCTGTGAAATTTCTTCATGTGTGCAATTTGCCTTCTTGAACAGTGAATCCCAAGAGTCCTCTGGTCTCATTCTGCCAATTATTAGCTGCTTGACCCTGGGCAAACTATGTAACTTCTCTAAGCCTTAACTTTCTCATTAAAAATATGCAAATATTATTTCCATCATAATGTTGTTGTGAGGCTTAAGCAAAAGAATACATGCAAAACTCCTAGTGTAAGGCGTGACACATGGCAGACATTTGAAATAGTAATTATTGTTTATATCTTCTTTTGGATTCAATGTATTCATTCACTCACTAAGTATTTAATGAGAAACTATACATTAGAAAACATTCTATGAGCTGGACCTACACCAACAAACATGAAAATTCCTGCCCTCATGGCGCTTGCATGCTGGCCAGGATGTTCTCGGTGGTACTTATCACATCTCATTTGTATACATCCTCACTCCATACTAGTTAGGAAGTTCCTTAAAGGCAGGTATCACTTTTAATTTACTTTTGAAGCCTTCATGAGGCTTAAAAGAGGACCACATCAGGTACTCAGTAAACATTCATTGAATGAATTCTACTCAAGAAGATGAACAATAAGCTTATCCAGAAATTCTTGTGTCAAGTGACCACTAAGATAGATTCCAAATCCAGGAGCAGTGAATTTAAGTTTAGTTTATACACTAAGTCTGAAATAGTTGATTTGTGAAAGAGCTGTCATTCAGAGCTTGTTCGCTGTGATTTTCAATGCTGTTTCATCAAGCATTTCTCAACCTACAACAAAATAAGAAAAGCAAGGAAGAAGTAGATATGGATATATGTGTACGAAACAGCACAAAAACTATAAACACTCTTGTGGAGTGTTCATAGGGCTCTATTTTAGGAATGAATTTGATCTCATACACCTCCAAAGCCCTTAAGGAAAAGTATACAGAGATGAATCAGATATGCTCATACAGCTCATTACATCATAGTAAAAATTATTTTTAAAATCCTTCCGGAGTTTGGTTAAATTAAAAAGGCACATTTATAAAGTAACATGCCTCACAGTCATTGAAAACATTAACATCGGATTATGTGTAAGGTGTTTGTAATTGAAAGAATACAGCTGCAATACCATACAACAATATAAATATGGTCTTTGTGGCATCAATATGCTTCCAGTATACAGAATACAGTCTGTGTGGATATTCTCCAAAATATAATTTTAAATGGTAGTTTTATGATTATAAATTGATTATAAAGGTTTTTGTACTCTTCTATTTATTTGAGTATGTGTTTAGGTTTTACGAATTAACCATTTTTTCATTATAAAAATAACAGAAGTACATACACACACACAGCTAATCTTCATTATCTGTGGAGTCCACGTTTGTCATTTCGCCTGCGTGATAAAATTTATCTGTAATTTCACAATACTTGAGGTGGTTTTGTGGTCACATGTCACAGAGTGACATTTGAGTGTCACATGCAAAGAGTGACATTTAAGTCACGTGATATGCCCATTCCCAGCTGAAGCTGAACACCATGATGCCTTCTTTTGCCAGTTCTCAAACTGTAGCAAAGTCTTCTTTTCATGGGCTATTTAGTGGCACATTTTTTGCATCTTTCTACTTTTTGTCAGTGATTTTGCTGTTTAAAATGACTTCCAATCATGGTGCTGCAGTGTTTCCAAGCAAAAAGGGCTGTGATGTGTCTTATCGGGGGAACTTTCCCATGTTAGATAAGCTTTGTTTGGGTATAAGTTACAGTGTTGTTGGCAATGCATTTAACGTTAATGAATCATTAATATGCATATGAAATAAGGTACATTTCAGAAGAAACAAGGTCACATATTGATTGTTGACAGTATATTGTAATTAGAGTAAGCTAACTTTGTATCTCCTCTAAAAGCAGTGGTCAGTGTTTACTAATTCAGAGCTCTAGGCAACTACATAAACCATAACTCTACAAATAAGGAGAATCAACTGTATATATGTAATATGTGATATATAATTAGAAAATATACTGAAATAGGAATCAGAAAATTTAAAGTTTAGTAATCAGATGTACTTAGAGAAATCACAAGCATTTGGAGTCTCAAGTTATAAAACAGATAATTTATTTTATATGTCTATTTGTTGTAATTGTCAAATGAGATCAGGTATGGAAAGCCTTTTTGTAGATTCTAATATAAATTATTAAGATAGAAAGTTACCAATCTGAGGAGAAAAGTTTAAATGAAATTACAAAAATAAAACTTAAAAAATTAAATGACCAATCCTGAGAGGCCTTTGTATATTCCAATGCTGTAACTAGTTACAAACAAGACATGACTATATTAAAACAAACGAAGAAAAAAACTTCTATGAGAGTAAAAGGTAATTTATAACTGGCAACACTTATAATCTAATTTGTAAATTGAAGAACAACATTGATGGAAATTTGTAAAGATGACACGACAAAAGTGACTTCAGACATTCCACTGGCTGCCATGTTGCCTATTTAGAATGTTATAGGAGCAATTCCTTCACTGTGACACACTGGGCTCCATGATCTTCAAGTCCTTTTAAACTCTTAGTGATTCCTGAGGGACTAGGAGTGTGAGGGGGAAAGAAAGGAGTTAAATACTACTGACTGAGCCCATACTATGTGCCTGGCTTTTTATCTTGAGTCGTGATTAAACTAAATTAATTATGTTTGTTGTAGTCTATTTAGTTATTTGGAAAATTCACACGTGGAATAGCTATCGATAGCAAAAAAGTTATACTCAGTAAATACTTCTTGAATTGATAGTTTTAAATGCCTTTAAACATAAGAAAAATTGTGTATTTATAAATAATTTTTTTATTTATATAAATTTAAGGATACAAGTGTAATTTTTTACATGGATATATTGCATTATAAATGAATTTCACAGTCCTAAAGATTTTACTATTCACAACAATCTCTATTTTTATTTTTTAATGCTTACTGAACCTCTCTCATCTCATAGGCACCGCATTAAACAATTTATATTTTTTCATTTAATGCTCACAAAAACCCTATTAAATAGTCATTACTCTCCCATTACAAGTAAAGAAAAAGCAGCATAGGAGGGTAACTCCCCAAGGTCGAATACACGGTCAGCAGCAGGCCAAGCATTTGATCGCTAGTCTTACCAGCCACCTAGGCTACATTCTTTTTGGTGACTGAAATGACTAAGCATTTTCTTTGGTTCTGCCCCCTGCAGCTACTGGGAGTTGGCTGCTGGTTGTGGTTACGGGTCACTGGGCCACCGTAAAGAAGAACCCACTCTATTTTTCCCTTTTCTCAAAATGTACCATTTAGCTGGGTGCTGGTTGAGGCCTGACTATAAAAACATACTAACCAGGCTGGGCGCGGTGGCTCACGCCTGTAATCCCAGCACTTTGGGAGGCTAAGGCAGGCGGGTCGCGAGGTCAGGAGATCGAGACCACCCTGGCTAAAACGGTGAAACCTCGTTTCTACTAAAAATACACAAAAAATTAGCCGGGCATGGTGTTGGGAGCCTATAGTTCCAGTTACTCGGGAAGCTGAGGCAGGAGAATGGCATGAACCCGAGGGGTGGAGCTTGCAGTGAGCCGAGATCACACCACCGCACTCCAGCCTGGGCAACAGAGCAAGACTCCATCTCAAAAACAAACAAACAAACAAACAAAAGCTAATGGTTGCTGTTTTGTTTTGTTTTTTTTTTTTATCCTTGCATACATCAAATCTCAGATGTTCCAATGGCTTTGAAAATATAGAAGAACTGGTTTAATCTCAATATACGCACTTTACTTTGGGTATTGAGGATAAAAAGCTTGTCATCTGGCTCTAGTAGTTTGCATGCATAAGCTATGTTGACAGCTGTCTCCTGCTTGTCCCCTGTCAGCATCCAAATCTTGATACCCGCTTTGTGAAGAGCTTCTATAGATTCAGGGACTCCCTCCTGCAGACGGTCTTCAATGCCAGTAGCACCTAAAAAATAACCAAAGTAAAATAGGACTTGTAAGAAACCAAAGCCAGCTGAAGCTCAGCTAGTCTACAGTTGAATCATATCTGTTAGCCAGCTTAACCCTAAACTATATAAACTGCCCAGCTGCCTCTGGAGAGTCAAAGGAGGTTTGACAACCCAGACCAAAATTATATGTAATGCAATATTTTGGGAAGGAAGCCTCAGGGATCAATGAATTTATCAAACTTACTTGTTCTCCTTTTGGCTAGTTTTCTTATCTGTAAATTGAAGGTGTTTGAGTCAATTGTTTATGCAACTTTACACTACAATTTTATAATTCTATGATATTCCCAAGGATAAGGGCGGGATTTTATTTATTTTTATTTTTATAGATTTAGGGGGTACAAATGCAGTTTTGTTACACTGAAATACCGTTTAGGGGTGAAATCTGGGTTCTCAGTGTAATCATCATGCCAATAGTGTAAATTGTACCTGTTAGGTAATTTCTCATCCCTTGCCCCCTGAGCTATCCTTCCACTTTTCTGAGTCTCCAATGTCTACTATTTCATTCTCCATGTCCATGTGTACACATTATTTAGCTCTTACTTATAAGCGAGAACATGTGTTACTTGACTTTCTGTTTCTGGGTTATTTCACTTAAGATAACGGCGTCCAGTTTCATCCATGTTGCTGCAAAAGACACAATTTCATTCTATTTTATGACTGAGTAGGATTCCATTGTGTATATATATATGTGTGTGTGTGTGTAGATATATATATATAACATTTTTCTTTAATCGTTTGTTGATGGACACTTAGATTGATTCTATGACTTTGCTATGGTGAACAGTGCTGTGATAAATGTATGATTGCAAGTACTTTTTTGATATAATGATTTCTTTTCTTTTGGATACCCAGTAGTGGGATTACTGGATTGAAGGGTAATTCCATTTTCAGTTCTTTGAGAATCTCCATACTGTTTTCCATAGAATTTGTACTAATTTACATTCCTACCAGCAGTATATAAGTGTTCCTTTTTCTCTGCATCCTTGCCAACATCTGTTGTTTTCTGACATTTTAATAGCCATTCTGACTAGTGTAAGATGGTATCTCACCGTGGTTTGAATTTGCATTTGTCTGCACCTGATAACGATGTTGAGCATTTTTTCATGTTTGTGGCCACTTGTATGTCTTCTTTAGAAAAATATCTGTTCATGTCCTTTAAAGGGCAGGCTTTTAAAGAATGCTCTTGCCAGTAAGATGCAATGTCTATTTGCAATGTTCTTTCATGGGTCTACAGTTTCCTTTTCTGAAACCACCGGGGCCATATGTGTTTTGGAATTCAAACATTTTTCAGAGATTAAAAAAGTAATATGGTGCATATACCATATTCTATAATACTCGGTAGTCAAGCATATTAATATTTCTGCAGGGAAACTGACAAATGTCCACACAGATTAGGATAATAAAGAACTATAAATAGTCTTATATCAAATCAGGCCTGATTCTTCTGCCAAATCAGTTTTGGCACTAAACCCATGGAGCATTTTTGATTTTGCAATCGCAGGTGAGGAAATGTGGACCTATACTACTTACACTGTCACAGAGAAATCACTTAGTGTAGGTATCATTGCTCTATCTGCTAGATACTAAGTTAGGTCAATGCTTTCCTCCTAAATAGAGGAATGGAGCTCAGAAGCTGGTATCTTGGTATATCAGAGCTTATATTAGAATCTAGGTCTCCAGACTCTTAGACAGTGGTTCTCAAACTTGACCGCCTTTAGCATCACTTTAGGGAGCTATAAAAAATTCCAGTGCCCAAGCCACACAACAGATCACTTGAATCAGAATCTCAGGGGATAGGATGCAGGCATCAATATTTTTTAAAGCGCTTCAGATAATTCTAAGATTCAGTTTAATCCAAGACAAGAGGGATCAGTTGTGCAATTTTAGTTGAAATCAAGAAGAGAAGAAAAATAAATTTCCTTAGTCCAGTAGCAGATGTAGGATAAAAAGCTTGGAGCCAGGCAGACATGAGTTCCATGTTTGGTTAATGAGTAATGTCAGCCACTGGCATATGACCTTGAACAAGTCATTGAACTATTCTGTGCCCCACATTTCCTCTACATAAGATGGAGATTTGTTGTGAGAATTCAACAAAAAGATAACACATATTCAACACCTTATCCAATGCCTGACAAGAAACTCTATTCTGATATTTATCTTGATTTGAACCAAGATATTTATTGGAACATTTACTTGACTTTGTAGTCTATGTTAAGTGTTGGGTTTTACATGATCTTCTTGGGGTGACCGTCCTGACCCCATCACAAGTGAAGTCTAGTTCACTGCAGTGGACAACAGAATAGAATGGATTGGAAGTTGGATAGAGATCAGATTGGACAGGGTAGGCACATCTATATATGTTTTTTAAATCACGGTGGAAGAAAAGGCACTGGTGAATAACCCTTATTCAGAGATATCCAGTGTTTTTCAAAATCCTCCATTCAGGCAATACAACGTAATTCACCTACCAAGTAATGTAAGTTTGTTCTCCAACCTCATGGCAGATTCAAGTAGTAATTCCTCCCTGTTGTCAATGCTGGTTTCAGCTAAAAAATGATTCCTCAGCCACTCTGCATATTCAGTGTCACTCATGACCTATGGGAATAATTAAAAGAGAGGTATGAAGCAAGCCATATGATCTTGTGGGAATACCAGGACTGACCTCTGGCAAAATATCAAACCATCAACTTGTTTTACATATTCCTCCCTCTGGGCACAGCCACGTCAGATCCATATCCTCACATCACCTGGACACTAGCTTCCCAAACTCTGTGGTCAGACTAGTGCAACAATGATGACAGATGGACCCTTTAATTCAGTATTTCTGGAAATTCTAGGCACCATATATGATGACAGTGGATTAATGTCTTTAATGAAATCAGAAAGTATGCAATTGGGAGTGGTCTCCAATTGACAGTTAAATCCAGTTTGATTCTAATGGTGCAGTTGAGAAAATGGTATCAGGACTGTTTCGTTCTAAGGATTCTGTTACCAGCAGCACCTTACATATCTTTTGATGTTTTTGTTTTGTTTTTTTTTTTTTGGAGACAGAGTCTCACTCTGGCCCAGGCTGCAGTGCAGTGGCATGATCTCGGCTCACTATAAGCTCTGCCTCCTGGGTTCACGCCATTCTCCTTTGATGGTTATTTTATGTGGTTAATGAATGGTAAACAGAGAAGGGTCCTATGGGTGAAACAAGTCTTATTCCAAACAAAAATTAAATGAAATTCCTGGAGAAGTGATCAATGATACATTTTCCTTTGTCTTTAGGTTGCCATAGAAGGAGAAATCTACATTTCAGTTTTTATAAAGCAGAGTGGGGTAAAGGGGTTGAGGCAATTCCTCTCTCTGTCTACTCATTCTTGCCCACGGGTCATTTGATTTGAGAGAATCTGGCACTTGCTGGGCTACATTTTAATCAAGGGCAGGATCATTCAATTGAAAAGGCAGAGTTGGTTTGATCTTGAACTCTCCATTCTTCCTTTAACTGTGTGTGGGGAAGGCTTTTGATTTTGTTTTTGTTTTTGTTTTGAGATGGAATTTCGCTCTGTCGTCCAGGCTGGAGTGCAGTGGTGCAATCTCAGCTTACTGCAACCTACGCCTCCCAAGTTCAAGCAATTCTCCTGTCTCAGCCTCCCGAGTAGCTGGGATTACAGGCATGCACCACCAGACCTGGCTAATTTTTGTATTTTTAGTAGAGACGGGGTTTCACCATGTTAGCCAGGCTGGTCTCAAACTCCTGACCTCAGGTGATCCACCTGTCTCGGCCTCCTGATTACAGGCGTGAGCTACTGTGCCCAGCCATCAGGCTTTTGATTCCTCATGCAGCTGGTTGACTGAGTTCCTTGGGGTCTACAACAGATCCCACTTTCCCTAATGCAGCTCCTATGAACTAAAACTTGGGTAAGAAATGAAAAGTTCTGGTGAGAACATCCCTCAAATAATTTATTGGAGCTCCATCTTCTTTCTTACTAAACTTTGGTTTAGAAAGGATATGCTATGTACCAAAATCATTCTCAATAAAGAATAATCAATACTGAGATAATATCTAGGATATTTACCTAAATTTACATATAAAGACTTACGGGCACATAAGAAAAGAGTATTAAGAACTTATAATGAAAAAGTTAAGGCTGATCTGTGGCCTCATTCTTTCCAAAGCGGATTTAATGCTATAAGACAGAGTGGTCAACATTTTCAAAGTCCTGAGGGAAAGAAAGTAAGATCCAGAGATTTTTGTTCCCAGTCAAACAACTGTTTACATGTAAAAGTACTCACAGACATATTGAAACATGCAAGAACTTAGAGAATATAACCTTTAGGGATCCTTCTAGCAAAATACTTTGAACAAACTTCAACCAACCAATATATAGAATAGAGAAGGTAAAAAGAGAGCCAGTGTCCAGGGACTTCCCCAGTGCCTGGATTAGGGTTTACTACAGGCTGGTTTTCAGTCAATGATAGTTAAACAAGGAAAAAACAAAAAAGATGGAGTGCACTAAGCAGTCTCACCTTCTTTGCTATACATAAAGTACGAAGTCCTTGTTTGGCATAGTCATCCAAGTGCTTCTGGGTTTTCTCCCTTATTATCATCTGCTGTTTTTCCGGACTTGCTCCATCTGAAATAATGGACAAGACGCTTGAGTTCCTACCTGTCTGCCAAATTACAGAAATACTTTTTAAAACAATAATAGTTTAATCCACACTAAACAAACACATAAAAAAGCCTTCTGGTTTTGAATCCCAAATGGGTATCTGTAAAAGGGACCACTCAGAATAAATCTTTCCCTCGTTTCTTTCCCCTTGGGCAGAGGAAAGTACACGAACTTGATACAAACACTGTTCCCAAATCATCAATAACAACAGTAACATAACTATAATGCTGCTAGCTGACATGCTGACATTTATTGGGCACTTTCCATTTGCTAGGCACTTGGCCAAAGGCTCTTCAAATACACTGCATGTAGTATGTCATTAAACCTTTCAGGAACCTATAAAGGAAGTACTATAAGACCCATTGAGTTGAAGACTTAGGCACAGAATAGTTACCTAACTTTATCAAGACCCCGCTAATGATGGAGTTCACATTTGAACTCAGATCTGGGTAGCCCCAAAACTTACTTGCTTTCCCATCAAATCCTAGGCAGCTTCCCCCTACTTCAAATGCGATTAGTCCCCAAATATCTATTTCTTCGCCTTTATAAAGTCATCGAGTGTGGTCTTTTAATCTTCGAGCTTTTCAAATTACTACTATCTCATTTTTGCATAAGCTTACCTGGGGAAGCCACTGACAGTAACTCCATGATCACAGAATCAGCGCCCTTTGTATACACCACAACTTGATTGGAAAGGGGGTGCCGGACCACAACAGACATTCTTTTTCTTACTGAGTCAAATGGCAGGATGTGTAGGAGTTGAAATGTTAATGGTCCCAAAGCAGCAAAGTCCACCATGACCTGCTCTGGTGTCCGAGACTGTAAAGTGCACTGGTAAGCCCTGGCAGCATACACTAAGGCCGCTTCGTCTGGGCTCTCAGCCTCATAACACAGGTTGCAGGCCATTGGCTGTCCAGGGAGGGACTCTGCCTTGCCATTCAGAAGGCCTGCATCACTGTGTTGTTTCTCTGTTTCTGTGCAGCAAGCTGAGCTACTGGAGCACTGGGGGCTCTCACACACCTGGGAGACCTCTTCCTCCACAGGTGAAGCCGGTTTTATTCGACTAAAGAGAGGGAGTCTGCTCACAAAGGCGTTTGGAACTCCAGAAGATGGCTCTTTCCCACTGTTAAGCGCTGGTGAACTTGATCTTCGGACAGACAATCTCTGGAAAAGACTTTTAATCTCTTCCAAAGACTTAATGGGCAACCCCCCCAGTGAAGGGTGCCTGATCTATGAAAGACAATTTAGGAAGGTCTCAATACAGTCAAAAGCAGTTTATAACAACTTTGAAGGCAAACTGGACATAAATTAGATATAAAAAGAGTTACCACTCTCTTAAATGGCTAGCATCCCATTCCTTACTTACAACCGCCATGGAAAATATTAATATAAATAAAACTTTGTTTTTAAATAAATATTTAGATAATTTGATTTTTATTAGTATTTTTAATATTTATGTAATACTTTGCTAATATTTTAATAATATTAAAATGAATGACATACATTTCTACAACCATTTAGAAAGAAATTTGACAACTGATAATAAAACACATAAAATGTTAATATTGCTAGCAGTGGGCATCCTTCAGCAATTTTTTTCTAAAGAAATAACTTGAAACACAGGAATTCCATGATCTTAATTGTGTGCATCCTAACCATAACAATCTTAAAACTATAAGCAAATTAAGTATTCAGTAACAGCAAAATTGACACATCTTGAAATGTTATATAATATTTAAAAATAAAGCTTATAAAGTCTATAGGGGAATACCGAAAAAGTTATGAGACTAGTGTAAAAAAAGTAACAAGTAATAATACACATAACAAAAACACCAGAAGAAAGCAAATCATAAGATTAACAAAATGTATTTTTCTCTTTTATTTTCTAGATTCTGCAAAAGTTTGCTACTTTGACTTTTCTTTTAAATGGACCAGTAAGCAAAGTAGCTTCATCAAGAAGAGTTATCAATATCATAATGTGGATTTGAATTTCTATTTTCATAGAACTTTTTCTTATTTGTATACCCTGGTTTCTCTTAAATCTTAACTTTTATCAGTGATTAAACTGAGAAATTCACATTAATTATGGAAGACCAATTAACTGGATGGAAAAATTTTCTCATTCAGAAATGCTCAATAAATTAAAAAGTTTTCCCCTAAAAATAATTAATTTTATAATAATTTGAAGGTCTTATGCTGGTTGACTTTCAAACTTATCAGCAACTCAAAAATGAAGAGTAAAACCCAATCACAGATGAGGTTTCTGTATCTCACATGAATGCTGATTAGCTACTTATTCACTGCCTTTCTATCATTACTTTGAAATACCACGAGGCTTAGACTCTTATATGCTTCACAGATTTTCTTTCAAGCAGTAGAATATTATATTCTTTAAGAATAAGGCAATAATATTTCTTAAAAGGAAAACATCAAAAGATACTTACTTTGAAAACAGATTTATTAGAAAAATTATGTGGGGGGAAAAGAACAGCCTTTATTCTGTAACTGCATAATCATTTTTTCAAAGAGCAACTTCCTAGGCAAAACCTTGTAAAAATACAGTTCCTGATGAAGCTCAACTTGATTGGAAGGAAATTATTTTTATTTTAAAGTTGACCACCTCAGAAGCTGCCAAAAGAAAATGATCTGATGGAAAATTAAATTGAATTGGGTTGTGCTGCAAATTCAATTTTAAGTGAGTAAAAGGTGAGATAGTTATACACAAGGAGGCTAGCACAGCAAGTGGTGAATCACCAGCCCATTAAACAAGTTTTCCTCCTCATTGAAAATGAATTTACCATGAATTCTAAGCTACAAATAGACTTTAAAAATCTAGGGTTTTTTTGGCCAGGTATGGTGGCTCATACCTGTAATCCTAGCACTTTGTGAGGCTGATGTGGGAGGATTGCTTGAGCTCAGGAGTTCAAGACAAGCCTGGAAAACATAGCGAGATTCCATCTCCACAAAAGTTTTAAAAATTAGCTGGGCATGGTGGCAAACACTTGTGGTCCCAGCTACTCAGAAGGCTGAGGCAGTAGGATTGCTTGAGGTCAAAGCTGCAGTAAGCTGTGATTGTACCATGCAGCTTCAGGCTGGGTGACAGAGTTGAGACCCTGTCTCAGAAAAAAACAAAAAAGGCCAGGAGCAGTGGCTCACACCTCTAATCCCAGCACTCTGGGAGGCTGAGACAGGCGGATCACCTGAGGTCAGGAATTTGAGACCAGCCTGGCCAACATGGTGAAACCCTGTCTCTACTAAAACTACAAAAATTAGCCAGGCGTGGTTGTGGGTGCCTATAATCCAGCTACTCAGGAGGCTGAGGCAGGAGAATTGCTTGAACCTGAGAGGCGGAGGTTGCAGTGAACTGAGATCATGCCTCTGCACTCCAGCCTGGGAGACAGGATAAGACTCTGTCTCAAAAGAAAAAAATCATTAAACATGATATTGAATCCAATACTGTATATTTTGCTTCATACAGTGTATATGATATTGGAGGTCTCAGAAGTCTCAAAGAAAGCTTCAATTTGGCAAATAAACTAAAGCAAAATGAACTGTTCTCATCACTACCCTCTTAGAGGCAAATAATATAGTAGCACTGAGCTGTATTTCCTAGGTTCAAATCCCACCTCCCCCACAAATCTGTATTGTGACCCTGGGTAAATTACTTAGCCTCATCTGTAAAATGGAGAATAGTAGGGTAATAGCATCTAACTCATAGGATTGTTAGGAGGATTAAACTTGTTAATACCAATAAATCACTTAGACCAGCGGACCTCAACCATTTTGGCACTAGGGACCAGTTTTGTGAAGACAATTTTCCACGGACAGGTTGGGTAGGACCTCAGATCATCAGGTATTAGATTCTCTGGATATTAGGATTCTCATATGGAGGACACAACCTAGATCCCTCGCATATGCAGTTCATAATAGGGTTCGCATTCCTATGAGAATCTAAAGCTGCCCCTGATCTGACAGGAGGTGGAGCTCAGGCAGTAATGCTCACTGGTTCTCTCCTTCCCTCCTGCTGTGCAGACTGGTTCCTAACAGGCCACAGACTGTTACCAGTCTGTGACCAGGGGGGTTGGGGACCCATGACATAAACCATGGTAAGTGCAGAGCACAGAAGAAATGCTAAATCAGTGTTATATAGCTGCTATTATTTATCATTTTTATCCATATATCAAGCTCAGTACAGATACATTTAAACCCAAAATTCTCTTCCAGAAAGTGACCCTTGTTTGCATTAGAGAACTTACTCACCTTTTGTCTGCGTTGGTTAGGAGCAGAAACCACTACTGTGTTGCAAATTGCCAATGCGATGAAGAAGTCGATGATGTACAAAGTTTCCAGTAGTGGATTTTGGATGGTCTCATCTAGTGGCATAAAGAGCCGAGGTGTAATCTGACTAAATTTGTCTAAAAGCCTGGTGTCTGGTACCACATCTGTTTCCTGAAAATCCAATAAGACAGTGTGTTGTTATAAGTTAGTTTTAAATCAACATGAGAAATAACTTGTATAGCCAGGATCATGAATCATGAGATGGTAAACTTTATTTTTCTAAAAACAATTTTAATGTGTATCCTGTCATGGGAAGTGAGAATAGGGAAATAAAAGACATAAAAACAAATCGATAACCCAGAATGCACATTATCAATGGAGACTATCTTAACTATTAAACTAAACAGGAATTCAGTTTTCACCAAGTCTAGCTGAGTGTTTTCTCATTTTGAAATACATAATAGCAGAGGTAGATTTTATTGAGCCCAGAATTCTACCTTGGTCATAGATTTATTCACCATCACTTGATGAATACTAACTCTTAAACTTTGGGCATTATTCATACCATGTTATTGCAACAAAATATTTTATGGCTTAAGTTACTACTATCAAAAAAAACCTCTCCAAAAATAAAAATTATAAGCAGGCTAACATATTTTATCAGCATTTTCAAGTGATACAAGACATTAATAAGGGTTCTTCCAGATTTTTGATCACCACATACATCTGGCAACTATGCTTTCTTCTCAGTACAGGTTTGTTCTAAGAAGTTGTTATTGAAAGAAAGTACTCCATTTTGTTTGACACAGTGCTTCTCACACTTATGTGAGAGTACTAGTTTTGACAAAATAATGTTGTAGTAGAAATCTAAGTATAATCCAGTAACATACAGTTAACTGCTTTAGAAATTTTTCAGCTGAGTCAAAGGAGGAACCACATGCTCAGAATCAAGGTTGTACAAAAGCACCATTGTATTCTAAGAGTCCTAGAGGCAGCTGGCCCGCAAAGCACACTGACTGCAGGAAAGCCAGGAGAGGAGATTTAGAGAAAAGAGTAAAATATAAGGATGTATGACATGGACTCAGAAGATTATGGCTTATATTTATCCTTAAAAGTTTGGTGAGAGTTAGCATAGGTTTAATAAGGAGAGAGGATGGGATGGAAAACATGGGTTTAGGTTCAGGTCTTAGCTCCACTGCATACTAACTGGAGGTCTTGGGCAGCTTACTTAACCTCCTTTTCCTCTTCTGTCTAATGGTAAAAATAACACTTACCTCCCAGGTGGCTGTACAAAGTAAATGAGATAATGACTAAGATGAGACCAGTATAACAATAACCTAAGTAATTCAATGTTCCTTTTCCTTCCTTCTTTCTCAAATGACACACTCACCTTCAGACAGGTTAGCAGTCTCACCTGGCTTCCAGAGTCACCAAGTTACCTGCTGTCAAAAAGCATTGCAAACTTTCTAACTAAATTCATTAATTCTACTGGCTTGTGCTGTTTGACTTAGCAAAATTTGAATCTTGTTCAGTTTGATGGAGTTCATAGCCATTCACGATCTGATGGTTGTTGATTAATAAGTTGATCACATTTTCTCATGAGTCTCACATATATAACAACTCTGAGGTGGCACTAGTGCTAGACCCTCAGTTACTCAGGGAACAACTCTGGCCTTAAGGACCCCCTTTCCAAAGTCAGTAGAAGAAAGTGGTAAAGTTGGAGAGACTTATTTATTTGGTCAATGAAGAGATGCGTGGGAAATTTGTTGCATGGTATTTTACCAAGGCCTATGATTATGTTGTTGTTTAGTGCTTATGAGATTCCACAGGTCAGGGCAATATTTCCAATGGCATCCTTCTCTGAATGTTGACATGGAATAAGCAAAAAATTAACAAAGAGTTCTATACTGAAATAAGTTTAAGAAATGTTTAAACAAGTTTTTTAATTTCAGCATTTCTCAGAGAGTTTAATGGGTATTAGGAATCTCCAAGAAGAGGCTAGTATGTACAGGCTTTTCAAATTCTATTTTTTAGAGACTTCTTTTATAGAAGACATTTGAGACTGAGTCAGAGACCACAGAAGCTAATAGTGATTTCATTGTATCAATGATCTCGGCAATTATTTAACTAATAATTGGTTCAGAACATAAGGATTACCTTGCATTCCGACGTCAATCTAACATTGATGAAAGGTTTGCAACTTCTGCATTTGTGACAAATGGTATTTACTATGGTCTGAATGTCTGGGTCTCTCCAAAATTTGTATGCTGAAATCCTAGCCAGCAAGGTGATGGCATTAGGAAGTGCGGCCCTTTGGGGTGATTAGGTTATGAGGGCAGTGACTTCATAAATGGGATTAAAGTCCTTATAAAACAGGTCCAAGGGAGTTTGTCCACCACATGAAGACACAGTAAAAGAAGGTACTGTTTTTATGAAACAGGAAGCAGGCCCTCACCAGACCCAAAATCTGCTGGCTCCTTGAACTTGGACTTTCCAGCCTCCAGATCTGTGAAAAATTAATTTTTGTTGTTTATAAGCTACCCAGTTTATGGTATTTTGTTCTGGCAGCCTGAATGGACTAAGACACTATTTATGTAGTCAACGTAATATGCCATTCAGGGAATCCAATGACTGCATGACTGAAAGGCTGTGCCATGGCCATGAGAAGAGAAGTAATACTGAAGTTGGCCCAAGCTGGAGATGAGTGGGAACAGTGTGTGAAAGTGGGGTTGTGTGGTTCTGGTCAGCAAAATTGTGCTAAGAAGTATTGTCAAAATAAAGTGGGAAAAATCTAGAAAGTCAGAACCATAGAAGACCTTGAAAAGCAACATAAAACAATATACATAAAAGAGCCCAGAAGATTTAAGGAAAGGTCTATATACAAGGAAGCTTCAGGCATGGCTCATTCTTCTACTTTAGTTGGTCCCACTAAATTAAGTTAATTTCTAGTGACTAAGAAGGTAGTCACCAATTAAGGTGAAGATAGAGAGTCACCACATGCAATTCTTACCAGCTTGACTGTATCTGTAGCTGTTTCTCCCAAGATCAAAATCTTCCTTATTGAGACCCAAGATTACATTATTAACTTTTGCTCTTTTGTCGGTGATGGATGGTTTCTGCCTTCTCTGGATGCCTGTTAACTTCAGAACCAGGCTCAAACCATCTTACTTTAAATAATTCCTTACATATGTATGGAATCTCTCCCCAAAGAATTTGGAAGGCCCATTAAAGTAAGGACTGTATCTTATTGATCTTTGGATTCCTAACTCAGTACCTGACACATGGGTAAGCAATAAAAGTGTATTGTCATATGTTACTATAATTTGCTAATCTCATATCTCATAAGGAAAGAGAGGGAGAAACAATCAGATGAAAAAGATGTTCTTCTTTGGAAAATAAATACATATTACCACCCACTGGGCTTAAGTAGGTATTTTTTTTAAATTCAAGAAAATTTTTACTTCAAAAGAGAGCGCAGATTACAGAGCATGATGTAGACAGCTTTCCATAATGTAAACAAAGCCTTATTTGGTTTCCTGGTGAGAGTCTAGTCTCTTTGTCCTAATCTTGTATGGCATCTGCCTATCTCAAATTTTAGATTTACCCTCATAATTCCTATTATGCCTTCCTACTAAGTTGTAGATTTCACATTCAGGTTTACTCCTTTCTTTTTTTTTTCTCTCTCTCCTCTATTTAAATTCAAATTAACAAGCAAAAACTGGCCAAAACTCCCTTTGCCCTTTAATAGTGTTTGTCGAATCTTTTGAATGGCTTTCATATAATTTAAATGTTAAATTTGTTTTAAAACAGAGAGAAGCAGCAGCCCGCTATAATTGTTTATGCAAAACTTTAACAACCCACGGTTTAGTAATGGACAAAGGATGGGGCATAAAGTTGATCAAGGAGCTCTAATACTGTTCTTCACTCTTCCCCTAGTTCCACCTGTACCCAAGGTTTTTCATTTCATTGCCGGATGCCACTCTACTCATTTTAAGGGTTCACCACTCCACCATTGCAACTTTGGCTTAAGAGTGGGCGCAAATATATTCTATTGCCACCACTCCCTCCCCACTGATTCCTAAACAACACAGTCCTGGGAAAAAAAAAAAAGAGACAAAGGTCAATAACTACATGCTAACAATTCCTCCTGCACACCACATTCTCCCATGGCCCTGTGGTTCTGAATGTCTGCATGTACCACATGCTGTAAGCTCCAAATGCCTTTCCTTCCTTTTCCAATCTGTGATCCTCTCTCTACTCATTAGTTTAATCCTAACTCAAGTTGTAGCTCTTTCAGGCAGCCTTTCTTGATCCTTCTTCACTTCCTTAGAGCTGATCACTCCCTTCTTTGTGACCTTACTATACTTACTTTACTTTACTTTGGATATACTTACTGCACTTTGGATTAACTACTGTGACTACATCTTTACTGCAGGTTTATAATTATTTGTTTATATGTCTATCTTCTCTAGCTAGAACAAAACTGAAGGCTGAGGTCATGTCTTATTCCAGTATTATGCCATGTCCAGTATTATGTCCAGTATTATGCCATGTCCAGTATTATGCCATGCCTTCCATTAATTCATTAATAAATTCATTATCTCATAAATATTTATTGCTAATCTGTGGTGCCAGGCACCTCTGAAGGTAAGAGGTGTGCATAGAACAGACAGGATCCTGGCTTACATGGAACTCACATTCTACCTGGGGGAGAGAGTAGATCCAAAACTATCCTAACAGCAAATAAATAAGATGCCTTTATATTGAGACAGAGAGAGACAAGGGAGAGATGGAATGTACTTGGAACTGGGTGGCAGAGAAGGCTTCACTGAGGAGGTATTTGAACTGAGGCTCAATGACAGAAAGGAGCAGCTATACAAAGATCTAAGAGAAGAGCATTTCACCTAGAATAAACAGTATCCTTGTTGAATGAAAAACTCCAGAAAATTAAAGACGCATAAACACACTGGCTTACAAAGTAAAAGTTCCTATTTCTAAAACAGGTACTATGAACCCAGGACTCATGGGCCTCAGTGACATTCTAATGCCCAAAGGCTGGCACATCTTCATCAGTACCCTGCCTGGCATCCTCACTTGCTGGCTCACAACTTGCCTCCTTTGAAGGGTGCCATCTTACAACCTTCCACTTTTAGACATCACAACTCTCAGAATGCCCTCAAGCTGGTGTTCTTAACCTGGGCTCCACAGATGGGCTTTTAGAATCTTATATGATATATTTACAGATGCTCATTTTTCAGATAAAAGATTATGTAGTTTTCTCAAAATAATCTTTAGTCTTCAAAAGGATAAAATCAACTTGCTTAGACCAAGATTGAGAAATAATCTTATACATTGAGGAAGACAATGACCTACTTATTCTATATATTAGGGGTATGGTTTTGCAAAACACAAATACAAGAAGAACAACAATAACAGCAACACATCCATATAATCAGGAATGACACTGGAGTGTAAGGCAAATGAAAAGAAAATGGCCCAGATTAAAAGACAGCCTGGTAAGTAGCTTCTTCCAACAACCTTTAAAAATACTTTATCGAGAATGGACATGCCAGTCATTGTGCTAGATGTTGATTCAAGATGGATAAATCCTTCTCTCAGGGAGTTAATGGTGGATTGCCAGAGGCAGAAATAAGACCAATGCCATGTGGATGAAGGGATGGAGGGACGGTGTAAACAGAGCTCAGACGTTGAAAGAAGAGAATCTGAGAAGTCTTCAGAAAAAAAGTGATATTTAATTTAGTTCTTAAAGAAATAAATATTTCACCAGATTTGGTGGATGGAGGTAGTATATGAAGACAGAATATATTTTAGACAGGGTAAATTTATCTATAAAGGGACAAAGACTTTAAACTAAGAAATAACCAGTCATTTGTTCCATGAATAGGGTGAGGTTTGATCAAGAAACCAATAAGGTGCGGCATAGACCCACCTTATTACCAAACTGTGCTGCTTCTCTCTAAACAACAGCCAACATGTTCTTACTTTCAGGTGGATGTAAAATGAAAAAGTTCAATACAAGGATAGATAAAAAGATATAATAGAAGAAAATATATCGATAGAAAAATAGAAGAAAATATATTTCTGATATGGTCTTATAATGAGTATACAGAATGAACTGTGTACATTCCTTTCTTCTTCCATTTTACAAGTTGGAGAAATATTAAGTCTTGGAATCACTTGACATATGGCTAAGATATAATATAATAGTTTTTATATTAGTGCCACAGAAAGGACATGGACTGAAAAGATCACTCCAGTTGCTGTAGTTATGCATTTGTTGACAATTTGAGAAGAACCAGGATCCTGGGAAGCTCAAGGCCTTCCCAGTACAAATGAGACCCCTGGGGTCTACTCATATCATGTCTCAACTATGAAAAACATATGATAAATTCAATGTAGAAACACAAAGCTTCCCCAAAGCTGATTTATTCTTGTTATGTCACCTATTTTGTAGGTATTATCAGTCTGATGGCTGGGAAATCCTCATCTTGGTGAAACACAAGACTTAATAAAATGTAAAAGGCAGAGAAGGAAATTGAACTTTTATACAGGTAATTTTAAATGTAGCAAAATGTTGATTTCTAATTTTTTTTTCACACAGCACCTTTCCCTCTTTTCCCCATCGGCTACATGGTCCTCTAGTTTTTCTGGAGTAAAATGGATTTGTTAATGGATGTGACTAGACAGTTCCTGACACTTCCCACTGGAACTCATGAACACAGTCTGTTGAACTCTGAAATTGATATATTAAAAAATGACCTTCTGGAAGCTAGGAATAGGGAAAAACCACAAGTCTGGTGGGATTTGGGAGATTACAGAGCAATAAAAAGGCCTTCGAGGTACCACATGGCCTATGAATGTTCCTATAAATTACACATGCTTATCTGACTATGAGATAACTCTGGTAAGCTTTGCTGGTTCTGAGAGTGAGCCATGATTCTTAAACCAAGGCACCCTTCTTCAGGGTCACACATAATCAGCCCTGACCAGAAACACTCTACTTTTTCCAGAAATGGTATACTACCTCTCAACATTGAATTATTTTTAAAAAGTAGCCTAGTGTGATATTGTTTGTTTATACTTCTAATTATGTGTGGTGATATTGCAGCTCATGTAGTCTCTTCTAAGGTAGAAAAGACAACAGAGTTTCACTCTGTCATAATTACAAGGCTGTTCTTTCATCATACACTGTGGATGTGCAAGATTCTAGTCATGCATTCACACTTACGATGGGGCTACTGAAAGCAGCCTGTCTGGAATGAGGCACTTCACTGGCTCCTTCTCTACTTCCTAGAGTAAAAGAGCTCCCAGCAAGTTGATTTGAGGACTTATTTCCCAAAAGCCCATTATGAACTGTCCTGCAGCTGGGGGCTTTCAGTTTTGCCATATTGCTGAGGGAACCACTGAGTGTGTCTGTAAAATCTTCATCTTCAGAGACAGCTTCCTGATAGGACTCCAACCTCTTGGCTGTGGGATAAAAAGCACATTAAGTCAACATCTGAGAAGAACCACTTGTAAGTTGAATATATCAGGCAGTTCCTTAAGCAGCTATTTCACACAATCTCCCCCGCTTTCAAATCTGGCTGCCAAGGCCTACCTCCCATACCCTTGGTCAATGAACTTACCTTATACCTCACTGAGAAGCAATCAGATCAAAATTCCCTTCTTTTTCCATCATCAAATCTACCTACTTATCTGCATCGGTACTCATACTCTCGGCCTTTCCTCCTCCTACTGTGAACAAATCATCTCTCTATGTTTCAGACACCAAATTCTCCATTTGTCATCTGAATCTCACCTCTCTGAACTCAATGACTTTACCCTTACAATTCTTCCGTTTTTTACTGACACCAATCTCTCTTTAAGTAATTTCATGGCTTTCTGTCCCCATCTCTCCACTGACATTGCTCTTTTTACGGTCACCAATGAGCTCCATGTTGTCAAATCCAATGATCACATCCATCCTTATCTTATGTGAACTCTTAGTAATATCCAACAGACTTGACCATTCATTCTTTCCTTCTTGAAATGTCTCTTTTGGTTTCTCTAATATCACACTTACCTGATTTTCCTCCCACTTCAATAACTGTTTCTTCGTAGTTTCTCCTGTTGTCTCTTCTTTTTAGCCCTCAGATACTGGAGAGCTGCAGAAGTGCCTTCCCTTCTCTACCTGCATCTTCCTTGGTGATCTCATCTGGTCCCATCTTTGAAATGACCTCACTGGGAAGTGAAGACTTCCCAGATCTGATCACACAATTTATAATAGATTCTGCGCTGAGACCTACCACCATCTACACATATATATCTTATTTATTTTATTTTTTGAATCATCCAGTAGAATACAACCTCAAAAAGGTCAGAGAATTCTGTCTGTTTTGCCAATATGATAATCTCAGATGTCAAAGCTGCAGTTGATAGGTACTATCTTTATAAATGAAACTTAATGACTTACACAGTCACTTAAGCCAGAAATCTAGAATCCTCCTAATTTCCTATCTTCTTTCTTATTTTCAGAGTATCACTAACATCTGTCCTCCATACATCCAAAAAATATCTCAAATAACTCTACTTCTCTCCATATCCATTACCTTAGTCCAAGCCACCATCATCTCTCAACTGGACCAGTGCAATAGTCTCATAACTGGTCTCCTTGCCCCTCTGCAATCCATTTTTCAAATAGTAGCTACAGTGATCTTCCTAAAAGATAAAGCAGATCAGATCACTTCCTGCATAAAACACTCCAGTAGCTTTACAATTAACTTAGAATAAAATCTGGACTCTCTATCCTGGCTTAAATAACTCAAGATGATCAGAGTCCTGCTGACCTATCTAACTTTGCTTCTCTTTCTACATGCCCACTAAAATCCAGACTCACTGGCCTTCTTTCTTTACTTTGAAAAGTCATAAGCTCACCCCTGCCTGAGGTCTTCTTTACTAGATATTCCCTCTGACTGGAAGCCTTTCCTATGGAATTTCAAGACTATGTCATTCAGATCTAAGCCCCATGTCCCACTTAGAGAGGCCTTGCCTGACCCTCCAGTTCAAAGTGGCTATCCAATCATTTTATCTTATACCACCTTATTTTAATTTTCTGCCAAGCACTTATCACTAATTTTTTTTCTTGATTTAAAAACTTAATATATACTTGTGAATATTTTCTCTAATAGAAACTCCATGAGAGCAGGGGCCTTGTCAGAATTGTTCAGCATTGTATCCAGTGTCTGGAATACAGACCATCAATAAATATGTGCTTGTTGGATTGCTAGTCATCTCTATTCAGCCTAACTCTAGCTATGGAATAAAGTATGGCTTCGGGTAAGTTATTCCATGAAGTGAAGAATGTTTGCACGTTCTATTTTTTTTTAATAATAGTTTTTGTCTGTACTCTTTAAAGGCAAGGAGAGGCTAAGGGTCTATGTGGTGATCCTAGGTTCCAGTACCAACTCTTCCAAAGACTAAGTGGCTTTCAGCAAATCACTTGTTGTTTCTGGGCCTTTGTTTCCAGAATGAAACATTTCAGAATGAATGATTTGGATTCGGTGACTTTACGATCTTTCCCAGCTCTGCAAGTCTCATTATATAATCTGCCTAAACAACACGGAATGTTTCCCAGTATGATCTTCCAACTTCAAAAACTGTTTTACATATTGTGTCCCAAAGATTCTCATCTCCTCCATTTCCATCTATGCCTTTGCTTGGAATATTCATTTGTGTCCTTTCTATTTATATAAATCCTGAACATCTTTAGAAGTTTAGTTCAAATGCCAGCTCCTCCACAAAGACCTCTGTACCTATACTGGCTCTTACTCATACCACTCATTGGGAATTTAGGGATTACATGTGCAGAATGTACCAGGCATTTGCTTACCAGGCACTTGCCCCGTTTAATCATAATATCTCAGCAGATACTATTAAAACCTGCATTTTACAAATAAACTTAAGTAATTTGCTCCATCTCACAAAAATGGTACAAATGAGTCTTAAAATGAGTTCTACTAGACTCCACAGCCCCGTGCTTCACTATTTCTGAATCTACCTATATACGTTAACAGGGCCAATTTTTAACACACGGCCAATATCCCCTGCTTAATTTCAGTGAGTCCATGTTTTGTCATTTAAATAAAAGTTTATTAAATGAATAATAAATGAATGAATCAATAGACATGTGAATGAAATATCCCTAGTATTAAGGGAAAGTTGTGGGGTAGCGAGTTAATAGTTTTTGAGGTCCTCCTTTTTTCATGCATCTGGCTTGGTCATTATATATATGTGTGTGTGTGAATGTGTGCATAATATATATGTATATATATTCCCTTTTTATCTTCAAAATAATGCCATCAGGTAGAAACTATCACTGCCTACTCTGCAGCTGAGGAGATTAAGACCCAGAGAGATTAAGCAGTTCAACCATTTTTAAACAGCTAGTTGTGGGTGGAGCTGGAAATTCTATTTAGGTCTTCTGCCTCCAAAGCCAGCACACTACCCACTACATTATAGCTCCTCAGCAGTGATTTGTATATAATAGGTTCGCTTAGTGGTTCTCCACGCGGGGTGAATTTCTCCCCTGGGGGTTTGGCAATGGCTGTAGACACTTTTGCTTGTTGTAACTGGGCGCAGTGTGCTGCTGGCATTCAGTGGGTGGAGGCCAAGAATACTTCTAAACATCTTACAATGCTCAGGACAGCCCCCAACAACAAAGATTAATCTAGCCCAAATAGTGCTGAGACTGATAAATCCTTGAGTAGCTCAAGGAATTTATTGATGATGTAACACCATTTTAAAAATATTTTAAAAATACATAAGTTTCCCGTTATTCACAGGGAATACGTCCCAAGACCCCCAGGGGATGCCTGAAACCATGGATAGTATTGAACCCTAAATATACTATGTTTATTCATATACATACATACCTATGATAAATGTTAACTTATAAATTAGGCATAGTAAAAGGTTAACAACAATAGCTAATAATAAAATAGAACAATTATAACAATATACTGTAGTAAAACTTATGTGAATGTGGTCTCTCTTTTTCTCTCTCAAAATATCTTGTTTTACTATACCAAAGGTAATTGAAACCGTGGAAAGTAAAACCACAGACAAGGGGGTAATACTGTACTTCAAAACACATATAAACATGAAAGCTATATTTAATGATCATGCAACTTCTAGCTATCATTAGGGAAATCAGTCATCATGCAACTATATGATTAGTATAGTTCCAGGTAGCTCAGCTATTACTGTAGGGAAAACTTGTTCAATCAGTACAATTACAAAAGTGGAATCAAGAAGACACGAAGTGACTCAACCTTTAATCATTTTTGGAAGCTATGAAAAGGAAATAGGCTGGGCCGGTAGCTCAGGCCTGTAATCCCAGAACTTTGGGAGGCCGAGGTAGGTGGATCACCAGAGGTCAGGAGTTTGAGACCAGCCTGGCCAACATGGCGAAACCTCATCTCTACTAAAAATACAAAAAAATTAGCTGGGTATGGTGGCAGGTGCCTGTAATCCCAGCTACTTGGGAAGCTGAGGCAGGAGAGTTGCTTAAACCCAAGGGGCAGGGGTTGCAGTGAGCCAAGATTGTGCCACTTCACTGCAACCTAGGCTAAAGAGTGAGACTAGGTTCATTCTCAAAAAAGGAAATAGACCAGTAAAGTTGCAATGTGATTCAGAAAACAAAGCTACTGGAGCTGTAATTCCAGGCTCAGCAAGAATTTTATAAAAATTAGGTGTGAGGCCACGTATGGTGGCTCACAACTGTAGTCCCAGCACTTTGGGAGGCTGAGGTGGGCAGATAGCTTGAGCCCAGGAGTTCGAGACTACCCTGGGAAACATGGCGAAACCCTGCCTCTACAAAAAATAGAAAAATTAGCCACGTGTGGGGACATATGCCCATAGTCCCAGCTACTTGTGAGGCTGAGGTGGTAGGATCACTTGAGCCCAGAAGGTTGAGGCTGCAGTGAGCTGAGATCATGCCACTGCACTCCAGCCTGGGTAGCAGAGTGTGAGGCCCTGGGTTAAAAAAATATATATTGTAAGAGAAACAAAGGTTTATTATAATACTGATAAAACTTATCCAAATCATTATGACTTTTAATATTCTTAGTATTTCTTTAACATTTCTTAATATTTATCTTAAAGTAGACTCTAAAATAGTTACATGAATGCCTCAAAGCAGGGCAGGAATTCTTACCTTCTGCTTCATAAGAAAAAACTTACAAAGTCTGTTCTTTCCTTTGTCTGAAGGTAGGTACTGAGATAGGTACCAAGTTGTCTACTTTATTTCTCTTCATTATTTAATCCCCAATCTGTCTTTTCTTCCCATTACCCTCTTCAAATACCCAGTAACCTTCCTATAGCCTGTTACTTGCATCAATTTGATATACGGAAGAAGTGGGCATGAGTCTATGAAACAAAGAGTTTATCATACTTTCAACGTGCTCTCCAAAGGGCCCAAAACGAGGGTGAACAGCATTCAGAAGAGCTTCCTTCAACTGTATCATCAATCCTCCATCAACCCTTTCACTATGAACTAAATCTGCAAACATTTCCAGCATTCTAACTTTTGCCTGCTTGCAAATTAACACATTCAGCTAAACCTTCTCCAACTGTATCACCCATATATGCTTGATATATAAACCTTTGTTCTAAACTAATTCCCCACACATTTCCAGCATTGTAAGAACGTCCAATATCCTGCCTTCAACATTCCAAGCGTTAATCAGTACAAAATCCACCTCCAATACTGACTGCCTGAAAATCAAAACTAGATGGAACAAGAACACTGACTTCATCTCTTATGACAATGAACATGATAATATATGTTTGCATATCTGCCTCCCACATCAGACCATGAGCTCCTTAAGAGATAGGCCTGTTTCTTATTTTAACAGCAATATTTACAACAACAACGACAGTAACAACAGCTATATTTATAGAGAACTCATTTTATGCCATTTGCTGTTCTAAATTCTTTATGTGAATTGTCTTCTCTCATTCTCTTAACCATCCAATGAGATTGATAGTGTCACTGATCCTTTCTATTGAGGCACAGAGAAATTAGATAGTTGTCCAGGGCCACACAGCTTGTAGGTAGTGGGAATGGGATGCAGACTTAGGAGGCCTGATTCCAAAATCCTTGTTCTTGGAAAGTGTTCAATGCTACTGTCTCCATGTAAATCAGATTCACAAACTACATCATAAAGGCATACTCCGAACAAGTCCAAATTGATAGACATTCTACAAAATCCCAGAATAATGCCACTCAAAACTGCTAAGTTTATCAAAAGGAAAGAAAATCCAAGAAACAGTCATCTAGAGAAACTGAAATGATGACTGTTATGCAGTATCCTAGCTAGGATCCTAGGACAGAGAAAGAACATTAGGTAAAAAAGAAGGAAGTCCAAATAAAGTATGTGTTTCAATTAATAATAATGTATCAGCATTTGTTCACCACTTATCACAAATATATCATATGACTAATGCAAGACGATAACAACAGGGGAAATGGCATGAGGCCATGCTGGAACCCTCCAGGATATCTTTGTAACTTTTCTGTAAATCTAAAATTATCCTAAATTTAAAAGTTTATTTTTAAGAAAGTCATTCTCTTTAAGCAGTCTTTTAAAGGAGTGGCTTGTTAAAATTTTAATATGCATATTAATCACCTGGGGATATTATTAAAATGTACTTAATTGAAGCTCTGCAGAGGGGTCTGAGTTTCTGCAATTTAAAAGCATGCCCAGATGTTGCTGATGCTGCCAGTACATGGAACACATTTTGAAGCTAGAAGGTTTTAAAATATACAATGGTGTTGTCAGGTGTGTTTAGTGCAATTGCATGTGTAAGAAGTTGTTTCCAAGCAGCAATATTCTTCACCAAATTATCTCCTAGGCAACACTTTTACAGAAAACCCTAAAGGACTAGCCATTAAAACACAGATACATGGTTAAAATAGTTTTCACTTCAGTGAAAATATGTCTCAGAATTAACTTCTAGAGAGAACTGGTCTCCACTAGTGTGTGTGTGTGTGTGTGTGTGTGTGTGTGTGGACATATGTGTTTAATTTCAAACCATTGCATAAAAAAGACCAGAAGCTCTGGGTGTGTCTATGGTAGAGAAGTGGTCAAAGGCAAAGTTAGTACCTCTAGAACTTTGGTTCCCAAACAGGTAGCTTATCAATTACAGTTCAGTCAGGATAGCATTTGACTCCCAGTCACTTGGTATCTTTTCTGTGTGAGGAGGCATACACGAAAAATACTCACTTGGGCAGGGATATGTATGTTCAGTGACTAGAGTGGAAGAGGGCTAGTATTAGTTCTTTGAGATGTTATGAACACAAAATTTTGTGCTACAAATACAAAAAAAAAAAAAAAACACAACAGTGCTTCTCGCTGTATATTTTATGAAACATTGCTGCTGCAAGACAGTTCCTAAAAATGGGGAACTATGGTCAAAGAATTCAGGAAAACACTAACCTCACAAATGCACTACAGAGGTTTAGCATAGCATTATTAATGTGGTTCCATTTTATTGAATAATGAATGATGAAGTCTTAAGAAAAATTATAAAAGTAAAATCACACTGCGATGCCATTTCTGTTTTAAAAACAAAAACATAAGTGTATGTGTGCATGCAAATGCATATCTTAAAAACAAAAAACATATATATGTGTTAAAAAAGACCCCAAAAGTGCATTAAAATGCTAACAGTGATCTATTCTGTTTGGTGGAGGTTAGTGATGGCTTTTAAATTTTACTATAAGATGAAACATAATGCAGAGTGTCATCATATTCAATATGATTAGCTGTATTTTGCATTTGTATGGTGATTACGTAATAAACACTTAACATTTTACCCCTTACACTCACAGGTTACCAAAGTTGACTTAAAAATACGTGTACCTAGAAGAAAATATAGTATATTTTTAACAATACCAGGCATGATGGGTTGTCTAAGTTCAGCATTACCATCAGAAATCATAACATTCATAATAATTGACAAATTTATATAACAAAGATATAAACCTTTTGATAAGAAGAGACAATGGAAGCACAATTTACAGACTGTGGTAGGCAGAATTCTAAGATGGCCCTGAAGAGTCCTGTCCCCCATGGTAGATACACCTTGTGACTATGCTATGATCAAATTATGCCATGTGGCAAAAGTGGAAGGATTTTGCAGATGTAATTAATCAACTGACTTTGAGTAATCTGAAAGAAGACTATCCTTGGTGGACATGATCTCATTAGGTTAGTCCTTTAAAAAGGATTCAGGACTTCCCTGATGTCAGAAAGATTCAAAATGAGAAATTCTGTTGCTGGCCTTGAAGAAGCAAACTGCTCTGCTGTGGTGAGGCTGTGTGGCAGGAAACAGCAGGCAATATCTTGGAGCTGTGAACAGTCCCAGGATGACAGCAGCAAGAAAGAAGGACCTCAGTCCTAAAACTTCAGTACACTGAATTCTGCGAAATATCAGTGAGCTAAGCATAAGATCATCAATAAGATCACAGTCCCAGCAGACATTTCTATTTCAACCTGGTGAGGGACCCTGAGCAGAGGAGGTACTTACCCTATACCCAGAGTCCTGACTTAGAGATACTGTGAGATAGCATGTTTGTATAGGTTTAAGCCATTATGGTTTGTGGTGATTTGTTATGTGGTGATAGAAAACTAATAAGTGATAAATAATGAACCAGAAAAATGTTTGTCACATATAGAAGAAAAGGATAACATAACATAAGGGTTGATATCCAAAGTATTTAAGAACTTGTTCTAAAAGAGTGCACAAATGAACATTGGTGCTGACCACAGACAATCTAGACTAAGCATACAAGCTGAACATTAATCCTGACTTCACATAAAAGCTCTCCCACAGCCTACCAAGAACAAGGAAACCTCATTTAAAAAATAGGGAAAGAATTCAATTAATTTACCAAGGAAATCAGAATGACCGAAAAACGTATAAAAAGTTAAAAATCTCATTACTAAGCAGAGACAAATTAAGACAATGAAGTACTAACTTCTCTGTAAAAATCACACAGATTAAAAAGTGTAACTTGATTACATTATGGCTGTGTGTGAAAAACAAGCACTATTTTCCTGGGTTGTGGGAATGTAAATTAGCATGATATTTTAGAGAAAAATGTATCTTATAAAAACAATTGAATAAATATATATGTACCAAGATGCATAATGCATGCCAAATTTTATTTATCATAATTTTAATCTCGTTTATCTATCTTCGTGTCATAAATCTAAATTACATGCAATCGGGGACTTATGCCACATATTGGGAGCTCACAAAATGTTTGGTGAATGAATAAGTGATGTTAACTACAAGTGCTTTTATATTAACAAAGTGGTCACCATTAAGCATAGCAAACTAAGTTTGACCACATATAGTAGAAAACTATATTCTTAATTTTAACTTATGAACTGACTTAGGAAAAATTTCATAAGACATTGTTGAATAAAATAAACAATTTACAAAAATAGTACTATTACATGTTCTAACTCATAAAAGGGAAAATGTGTACATATATGTTCCCATATAGAGAAGTATGGATAAAGAAATAACTGGTTACATAGTCACCAAATTGTTAATGGTAGTTAACCTTGGGAGAGTGGGGCTTTTAATTTGTTTTGTTCACTTCTATGAGTTATCTTTAAAGAAGCACATATTTCTTTTATAAATTGGAAAATTAATAAAGTTCAACTCTTTAAAGGGAACTTGGAATTTACAAATTTATTTCTTTAGAGTCAGAAGTTCAGCTCATTTTGCTTAAACTAGTTATTCTTAATCAAGCACCAATGGATACCTAGGGGTCAAACAATGAGGTTACAAGGAGCCTGTAATCCCTTTGGAATTGTTTCCAAAATATTTTTCAAAGAAATGGCCCATAGTTTCATTAGCTGTTCAAGAGTATTTATAGTACAATATCATTGTCATCCCTCCAATTCCCACCTTTTACTTCCACTAGTAATTTACTTCACTTTTAAAGAAACCATGGCAGTAGACTGCTAGACTTTAACCTACTAGCTTTTGAAGGAACAACAGTGAAGCTTAAAGCCCATCTGGAAGCATTTAGTACTCAATGCTTAAATCAACCACTTCTATGTCAGAATTGTCAGACATGCAGCACTTAAGTGGTTTCAAAAAAAGACCAATACTAAGGTTGGTTTTCACGGAAATCCAACACTCACCATTTTCTTCATGGCAATAATCAAATCCTGCCACACTACATCTTCGAAAAACCATCTTATTCTCAGTGAGGGTTCCTGTCTTATCAGAAAAGAGGTACTGAATCTGTCCCAGATCCTCGGCAATGTTCAGGGCTCGGCATTGAACAGTAGAATCTGTTTTCTCATTGTAGAAATCCATATCACTTTGAATGAAATATATTTGTCCAAGCTTCACAATTTCGATGGAAACGTAGAGAGAAATGGGAATCAAGACCTAAGAAGATCCAAACAAGTTTTAAAATGTCAACATAGGTTAAAGAAAGGATGTGAAACTGAACATAGCTGGATAAGCAGTAAAGATGTTAAAATTCTACCATAAGCTTAATAAAAAATTACCTGTAACAAAATGATCATGGTCCAAAACATATAGAATCCTGCCAACAGTGGTGATATGATATGTCTATCGGGTTCAGGGTTATTGAAAAAATGCATCTTTTCATACCTGCTCAACCAGATTCCATGACCTTTCAAAAAATACACAGATATCAAAAGGATGCTAAATATATAGCATGCAAACAAAAAACTGTATTCCTAAAGGAGAAGGAATGAGAGTATTCATTTGATTGAACATCAGTTGTTTGTTTTTGGAAACAAAATTCAAATTCAAAAGGCTATACATTCTCCTCTCTCTTTAAGTCACTCTCCAGGTTTCTTCAGTACTATGGCAAAATGTAATGGATAGAGTCAACATTAATATTTTTCAGGGCAAAGGACGAAAGAGACAAGGATATGAGGTAAAAACATTACTGACAAATAAAATCCACCTTACCAAAGTCAAACATTCACAGATATGATTTTGAAGTAAAATACTTTAATATCTTGCTGAAAAGGTGTCAGCAAATAATCAAATTTTACCTACCCACTGAGCCAGTTAAGCACATTATGACCAGAAGCATGACACACCAGAGGACATCTGTGTTTGCTCTTCTTTCTAATTTGCTGCGTTTATACCGTGGCCCACTGTTGTTCAGCATTGCTTTGGTTTCATGGCCTATGAAGGACGTGCAGTATGATAGAAAATGTACAAATTAAAGCCAAAAAGCGAATACTATATTTAAAAATCTCTCTGGCAGACAATTTAATAAAACATAGTTACATGATCTATTTTATCAGTTTAATCTTCTTTTGTGATCCACTTAGAAAAACAGAGACCAATAATTAAGTTCATCAGACAAAATTTCCTTTCTGCTTCAACAGATTGCATTTTTGAGTAAATGAAAAATGTTAACTTGTAGAAAAACACAGATTAGACAATGAAAATTAGAAACATAACTGACCTGCATAAACCACAATGCCCACAACAGCCTCTGTGTTTCTAATGGTGCATCCTCTAAGCAACAAATTTTCTTTACTGAGACCCACGCGTTCTTTGTTGGAATGTTCTCTATAAGAAAGACAACATAAACATTCACTTTCAAATAGCAAAAGTGGGGATATAAAAATAAATTTCATGGTCCTTGAATGTTTTTGACTTGGAGTAAAAAGGCATTTCAAAGGAAAGGTTTCAAATCTCTGGCCCATTTACTTTGGTTATTTCAGTTACTTGCTTTGTTTTTTTGTTACTTTTTTTTTTAAGACTTTTAGGTTCGGGGGTACATGTGCAGGTTTATAGGTCAATTGTGTGCTGCAGGGCTTTGGTGTACAGATTTCATTACCCAGGTGATAAGCATCATGTCTAAGAGGTCGTTTTTTGAACCTCACGCTCTTCTTACCATCCACCTTGAATTAGGTCCTGGTGTCTATTATTCTTATCTTTGTGTCTATATGTACTAAATGTTTAGCTCCCACTTATAAGTGAGAACTTGTCGTATTTGTTTTTCTGTTCCAGCATTAGTTCATTTAGGATAACAGCCTTTAGCATTCATCCACATCCACATAGCTTCATCCTCATTCCTTTTTATGGCTGCATAGTATTCCATGGTGTGTATATAGGCCACATTTTCTTTATCCATTCAACTGCTGATGAGGATTTAGGTTGATTCTGGTCTTTGCTATTGTGAATCAGTTACTACTTTGCCTAGGAAGAGATGCAACAAGTTTCTAACTATCATTATTTTCAACGGTAGTCATTGTTTGTCAACTTCTATTACAATAAAAAAAAAATTCCAAGCAAGAATCCTGCTTTTCTAATACAAACTGTATTTAGCATAACTTAGTAATTGATGAGGGAAAAAATCCTGATAGAAAATTAACATTTTCAACTTGGATGAAATCAAGAATCATTCTAGGCAATGATAATCGGTGGCTGCTAAAATCAATGGTTAAAAGGCTGATGGGAACTTTATAGTAATAGGATAAGAGCTCATCCTTTTTTATGGCTGCATAATATTCCATGGTGTATGTGTGCCACATTTTCTTAATCCAGTCTATCACTGATGGACATTTGGGTTGGTTCCAAGTCTTTGCCATTGTAAATAGTGCTGCAATAAACATATGAGAGCATGTGTCTTTATGGCAGCATGATTTATAATCCTTTGGGTATATACCCAGTAATGGGATGGCTGGGTCAAATGGTATTTCTAGTTCTAGATCCTTGAGGAATCGCCACCATGGAATATTATGCAGCCATAAAAAAGGATGAGTTCATGTCCTTTGTAGGGACATGGATGAAGCTGGAAGCCATCATTCTCAGCAAACTATCACAAGGACAAAAAACCAAACACTACATGTTCTTACTCATAGGTGGGAATTGAACAATGAGAACACTTGGACACAGGAAGGGGAACATCACACACTGGGGCCTGTTGTGAGGTGGGGAGAGGGGGAGGGAGAGCATTAGGAGATATACCTAATGTAAATGACAAGTTAATGGGTACAGCACACCAACAAGGCACATATATACATATGTAACAAACCTGCACGTTGTGCACATGTACCCTAGAACTTAAAGTATAATAATAAAAAAAAATAGTAATAGGATAAGGCTGATAACACTAATCTTATAATGGGACAAGGAGACATCATGGGCCTCATGATTTATGGGAAAGAAAGCCATGGCCCTACAGGTGCTTAATCAAACTTCTATTAGGCATTTCAACCTGGAGTCTGTGGCTTCAGAGATCTGTGAAGCCTTTGAAATTGTACGCAATATTTTATGTGTGTGTGTATGTATGTGTGTATACATGCTTGTTATTTTCCAGGGAGAGACTCTGTTTCTTTCATCAGATTCTTTAAATGTCCCTTGATGGTTTACAGAGAATAAGATGGCCAGAGAAACATGTTAAACATCACCACAAGAATGCAGTTGGCCAGATCTAAAACGTGGTAAATTCCACAGGCAAAGCGACCTGTTTATTCAGAAAAATGAATGATGTAGGGGAACAAAAGGGGGAAGGAGGGGAAGCCCAACCCAAGGAGGGGGCAGTCACCTCAATCTAGAATGTGATCAATTCTGTAAGCTCAATGACTCAATTTATTGGGAGAAGAAATGTAGAGACATACCAATCAGATGCAAAGAATAGACCTTGTTTTGATCCTGGCTAGAATAAGACAACTATTAGAAAACATTTTTCAGATAATTGTATATATTTGAACAAAAGCTTGGTATTAGATGATATTATGGAATGGTTCCTAAGTTTTGTTAGGTGTGATAATAGTATTGTGGTTGTGACTCATTTAAGTCCTTATCTGCTATAAGTATATAGTAAGGTATTTACAGTAAAATGACACAGTGGAGGGGTAGGAAAGGAAGTGGAAGCACAGCTGAAACAAAGATGGAAAAACTGAAATAGCTAAGGCTGAGTGATGCCACATGGGTGTTCATTATACTTTTCTTTCTACTTTTTCGTGTTTGAAAATTTCTGTAATATATAATTTAAAAATTATTGAAGTAATTACTTGACTAAATTGCTACAGTGGCAAAAATACAAAGCAACACCACTGGAATATTTAAATAAACAAGCAAAAAGTAATGGTTTTCACATATTTTGAAAATGTCCTAATTTCAGTATGAAAATTAGGTTGTTTTCTGGCAATAAACTTCAATTTACAAGTTACTGCTTGTTCCTTACATATATAAAATTTGTTAATATAACCTTGCTATCTGAAATTACAATTAAAATAAAACAAAAATCAAATAAGGTTTCAAACTACAAAGGAAGAGAAAGACAGATTTATCATTTCATTCCCATATGCTGTAAAGCACTTTCTTCTAACAGCTATATGTTTATATTCCTGCACATGCACAGGCCTGTGTATGAAGACATGGTAAAAGCTAGATGCATCCTTGAGTTTAAGCTAATTCAACTTTTTCGTTTTACAGATGAGGAAATTAAGTCCCAACATTCACATTTCCATATAGCATTCCCAAGTAAGCACCAGCCAGTCCTCAGCAATGTGGTATTTTTTTTCTTATCCCTAGAGTCCTTATAGGAAATAATCTAACACATAAAATCATCAATTCCAAAGTTCCTCAGATTTTTTTCTCCTGAAATCCTTATTTTTCACCATTAAATCACTTTGAGGTACAACCGTTAGACAAAAGTTCAGCTTCTATATTAATTGCACTTACTGCAAATTCCAAAAATTTCCTGTATTTTACATGTGTCTGATAATTGGCACTTACGGTATGGAACCTTCAGGATTTTGTATGAAGCACTGGCTGTCACATACAGCTTCCATGAAACATCTATCTACTATGTGCCCAGCACTCCAAGCCAGATGCTAGAAATAGAAAAACAAGCATATGCAGTCTGGACTCATAAGGTCTAAGAGGAGGTAATACAGGTAGAAACATGTAAGAGTAGTAAAAATATGATAGCATGATAGGAATCTGATATTCAGCATACAGTGTAGTCACAAATAGGGAGGATGTCAGTTCTAGCTTAGAGCATGAAGATCAAAGAAGGTGTCATATAGACAGGTAGCTTGAGCATCTCAATTTGTGTTTAATTTTTGAAAACAGGCCACAAAGCAGGGAAAGAATAAGGAGCCAGTTTAGTGGATTAAAATAATTCCACAGAAAATCACTGTATCCACCTAGGCTGATTCTCTTAGTAAATGCTTCCCTGCCAAAGGCTGAGGCCAGCTCTCAGGATGGACATGAACAGAACAGACAAAAGCCCCTCCAATCACTAGTGAAGGCAGAATCTGAGGATTCGAGAAGGGAGGCCACTTCGGCAGTCAAGTCATGAAAACAAACCAGCAAATTTCAAAGCAAACTGATGTCGGAGAAGCCCATCACAAACAGGGGAATCAAAGGGCAGAGAAACATGGTGCTCAGAAACCTAGGGAAAAGTGACAATTTGGATAGGCAGGAAGCTAGTAGGGCCTTGGAACTAGGTAAGTGCTCTGAACGAGACTCAGTGCCCAGCACAGCAAATGATGCTCAAATGTGTCTATTAAGAAGAACCGTATCCAAAGGATGAAAAGAGAGGCTGACAAAAGTAGGCCACGGCTCCAGTCCCAGAGATTTTGAATGACTTGTCAAGTTTATACAGGAGCAAACAGTTCTGAGGTAGCAAGAGTCAGAGTCTCAGACACTAGAAAAACTATCAGAATTGGGACACAGGATCAAAATTTGTGTGGCAACAGTGTTCTCATACATTTTTTTTAAAAATCTACTAACTACATGCACTAGGCCAGATTCCTTGCAGAGTGCTATATGCTGCAGACCACAGAGTGCAGACTAGAGTTCCTTCCTGTTCTCTCCACCGCGTAAACCAAATACATCCTGCTAGGGGCAAGTCTGAGCTCGTCAGGGAGTCAGCGTGCCCAGCTGTGGGAAGAGGACAGCTGTATAGGCTGCACCCTAAGACAGATCTGACCTCAGGTGAAGAAACGGCAGCCCCTGAATCTGACATTTACAAAAGGAAATTTTATTCAGAGTCAGCAGCTAGAGGAAATGATCCTTGAAAAGGATTCATCCTGAGATGGCTTATGAGCATGTTTCTGATGAGAGAGGGGCAGCTGCCTAACTTCTTTTCATGAAGACCATCTAAAATTTCCATGGAAGGATTTTTCTAATACTAATCCCAATAACTTTAGGATAAATGTTTCATTTTAAGCAAAATACACAAGGCCCTTTAGGTTCTGGCCTCTTCATGATCTGCCTTATTGCTCACCTACATTCCAGACATACTTAGCCACATAGAACAACACAAATACACTGTAATCTCAGGCCTCTGTGCTCTTGCCTATGTTGCTCCCTCAGCCTGAAATGCCAGCCATTCTTTTCACTTTATTGTTGGCCAGGTATCTTCTCGTTCTTGAAGATTTAATTCCAGCATTATCTCCTAAGACTAAGCCTTTCCCTCTTTCCACTGCATGGCCCCCTCTCTGTCCCTACCCAGATACAGATACCAGATGTCTGTATCTGGTGCTACTTAAAGATGGCATGGAATCCTGAACAGACCAATAACAAGTAATGAAATTGAATCATTGATA